CAAGTATCATAGCTTTCAGATACGTCAAGCACAAGCTAAAGCTTCATCGACGCTTTCTTCTTTTTGACTTTCTTTCCCCGGTTTTTGTTTCTTCTTTCTCGCGTGCAGGTTCGTCTCATGTGCAAACACTCGCGTCCCCCGCGTCCACCGCTTCATCCCGTCCCTTGCCCCTTCATCTGATTGCTGGTTTCTCCCGCTGCCTCTGGTAGATTGAGGTGCCTGGATCAACCCCGGTCATGAGGCTTGACCAACAAAGGCAATTCAGCACTGTTACATTCCGTTGGAAAGAGGCCCAAACCCACCACTTTCGATAGCCTACGCCGCTCTACCCATACTATGATGGACCCCCTAGACAACCATTTCCTCCTATCGGTGCAGTTGCAAACCATGCATCAATCCACAATCACGGGAGATATCACTGGTCGAGCCGTATGCTGGGAGCCTGTGGTCATGTGGCAGAAGGCGCCAACTCCAGGATTTGATATCTGAAAGAAGAAAGTAGTAGGTCCCGAGATGGCGGCGAGGGAGACGGCGTCCAAGGAGGTCTTGGGCCTTGGCAAATGTCACTGTTCCTTTAAATCATCTCTCGCCCTCCCAGAAAGCGAAGGCAGATCCCGAAGTCTTGGTTGCTAGACCTGTGTTGATATAGACGTCCGGTACCATGAAGTTCTTCAGTCGTTCTGGTGCTCTGGCAGCACTCCTGGCCACAACATCTCGTAGGTTTTTGATAGCATCAAGGATAGGTAACTTACTAACATGATGGTCAAGTCTTCGATGGAGTTACCGCCCAATCCCCGACACCGGTTGTCTTGACGGACTCCAAGACCGGCATCATCTTCGACACTTGGTCCGCAACGAGCGCTCAGACAGCCGGAGGCATGACGTACGGTTTCGCCCTGCCTCAAAATGCTTTGACGACGGACGCCAACGAATTTGTTGGCTATCTCGTAGGTCTCCTCTGCCCATCGCCTACCTCGCCGACTGACAGTTTCCGTCCAGCAATGCGCCTCCAAGAACGGCCAGGGCACTGGCTGGTGCGGTATCTCCCTCGGCGGATCGATGACCAACAAGCTACTTCTCATGGCATGGCCCAGTGGCTCTGATATCCTGACCTCCTTCCGCTGGGCAACGGGATACGTGATGCCAGACGTCTATGCAGGCGACGCCAAGCTCACGCAGATCTCGTCTACCATCAACGCGACGCACTATACCCTTATCTACCGGTGCCAGAACTGTTTCAACTGGAATCACAATGGTGCCACTGGCAGTGTCTCGACTAGCGCTGGCTCTCTCGTCTTAGGATGGGCGCAGGCTTTCACCAGCCCTACCAACCCCACGTGTCCTGCCTCGGTCAACCTGGTCCAGCACGATAACCAAGGCATCCATGGAGCCGCTCTCGATGCTAACGCGGCGAACCCTTCCTACTCTGCATGGGCCGCTTTGGCTACCAAGACCGTCACGGGAAGCTGTGGTGGCGCCACTACGACTTCAGCGCCACCTTCCACCACCACTACGAAGGCACCCACTGGACCTACCGGTGTGCCCGTTCCCTCTGGCACTTACGACTACATTGTCATCGGAGCAGGAGCCGGTGGCATTCCCTTGGCCGACAAGCTGAGTGAGGCTGGCAAGAGCGTCTTGTTGATCGAGAAGGGGCCGCCATCTTCCGGCAGATGGGGTGGCACCATGAAGCCGACCTGGCTAGAGGGTACCAACCTGACCAGGTTCGATGTCCCCGGTCTTTGCAACCAGATCTGGCGCGACTCTGCCGGCATTGCCTGCCAGGACACTGACCAGATGGCCGGTTGTGTTCTGGGTGGAGGCACCGCCATTAACGCCGCTCTATGGTGGAAGGTATGTTGTCCCTCGACCGATGAGATTGACGTTGATGCTAATATCTAGTAGCCATATGCCCAAGACTGGGACTACAACTTCCCGGCCGGATGGAAGTCAACCGATGTCGCTGCCGCCACAAGCCGAGTCTTCTCTCGTATCCCCGGTACCACGACACCATCTCAAGACGGCAAGGTCTACCTGACGAATGGCTTCAATGCTATTGCCGGCGGGCTCCGCACTGCCGGGTGGTCGGAGCTTGACCTTAATGCGAACCCGAACTCCAAGAACCGCACGTTCGGCAAGACGCCATACATGTACTCTGGCGGAGAACGCGGTGGCCCCATGGCTACATACCTTCTCACAGCAAGCAAGCGCAGCAACTTCAAGCTGTGGACTAAGACGGCCGTCAAGCGTGTTGTTCGGACTGGAGGGCACATCACTGGTATCGAAGTTGAGCCGTACTTGGACGGTGGATACACCGGAACGGTCAACGTGACTAACATCTCGGGCCGAGTGATTCTGTCCGCAGGAACCTTTGGCAGTGCCAAGCTTCTGCTGCGCAGCGGTATTGGCCCACAAGATCAGCTCGAGATCGTCAAGAGCTCCACTGACGGGCCTACCATGATCTCCAATGCATCCTGGATCAACCTGCCTGTCGGATACAACCTAGAAGATCATACCAACGTGGGTCTTATTAATAATTTTGGAAGATCTGAAGATTGAAGCTGATTGAATCTAGACTGATACCGTCGTCACGCATCCTGACGTGCAGTTCTATGACTTCTACGAGGCGTACACTGACCCCAATGTCACTGACAAGAACCTCTATTTGCAGAAGAGAAGCGGCATTCTGGCCCAGTCTGCACCCAACATTGGTCCTCTGTAAGTCGAAACATGCTACTCACTGCTATCCGTTGCCTTTGCGCTAACGTCATCTCAGCTTCTTCGAGGAGATCAAGGGTGCCGATGGCATCACTCGGCAGATGCAATACACGGCCCGCATGGAAGGCAGTCTCGGGGCCCCTGACGGCAGTATGTGTTCCTTCCAGGTTCACCTTTGTTCGACGTCTGATTATTGACACGCCATACAGAAACCATCACCATCAGCCAATACCTCGGCCGAGGCGCAACCTCACGCGGCAGGATGACCATCCAGGCCAATCTCGGTACCGTCGTGTCCACCGTGCCCTACCTTCGCGACCAAAACGATGTCGAGGCCGTCATCAAGGGCCTCGAGAACCTGCAGACCTCCCTCAAGAGCGTGGCCAACCTTGTCTGGAACTTCCCTCCGCCGGGTACGACCGTCAGAGACTATGTCAACAATATGCTCGTCTCCTACTCGAATCGTCGCGCGAACCACTGGATCGGTAAGTTGACTCCCCGCATTCCCTCCCAACGCACACCCGTCTGCACATCGGAATCGCTGACTGAAAATCTCGGAAAAGGCACGAACAAACTGGGGACGAGCGACGGTCGTAGCAAAGGCGATTCAGTCGTCGACATCAACACCAAGGTGTACGGCACAGATAACCTCTTCGTCGTTGATGCCAGCATCTTCCCCGGGATGGTCACCACCAACCCGTCATCGTACATTGTGGTCTCTGCCGAACACGCCGCGGCCAAAATTCTTGCCCTCGCAACCTCGACAGCGCAGCCGCTTTATGGGCAGTGTGGTGGATCGACATGGAATGGTAGCTTCCAGTGTGCTACTGGCTTGAAGTGCACCGTCAAGGACTCCTACTACTCTCAGGTACGGACGCCTTCTTTTCCTTCTTATCTCCTGCCCCAATCTCTCTAGCTCGTTGTTCGAACGAGATGACGATGATATTAACGTGATTATCAGTGTCTGTGAGTGGGGTTTCGAGGCAGGGCATCCCAAGTCGAGGAGCGCACGTGGCGCGCTTTATTTCCCAGTTCTACCCACCAGGTCTTCGCGTGTACATACTTTTTTTTTGCGCCATCTATCTTCCGAGTATATATTTTGTTGGAATCCTCGTAAACCCGAGGTATATTTATATCCACATTTGACCCCATCAAGCGCACGCCGTTTCTTGAACGACGGACAACTTCTTGTTTACCCCTCGGTCCGGCGCTCTACCCAAACATGCGCACCAATGAAAAAAGGACTCGGCACTACGCCTAACCCCACACACGAACTGACGTCGTATCTGAGATCTTCCGGCACCTGGATCATCCCCAATTCTGCCTCTTTCTGGGGAGAGTCGAGTGGTCCGCCCCTCTTTCTAAGGTTTTGTTCTAGTCGACGTTTCCCTGTTCGTTTACTTTGGAGGAACCAGGTCTGGCCGTGCCTGGCCTTATTTCGCCATGTGCCAGCCGATAACGACTGGAGTCACGAGAATACTGATGGGGCGGAAAACACATGGGATGAGCGGTGACCTAATCTCCCTGATTCGAGCATATGCAGCTCAGCTTGAGTCGCTCGTCCAGCTCGTGAAGCTTTCTGATTGAAAACCATAAGGTACAGATATGGTCTGATTCTATCCACTCTATTCGTACTCATTTCGTGATGGTCCTCGTGACCATCTGTTCGGTGGGTGCAACCCACGCACAACCCGGCCCCGAAGTCCCCGGTGCCTTGCATCTCCCGTCACGCCTTGGGTTGCCCTCAACACGACTCTGGAAGCAGATCTTCCAGCGACGGGAAAACTCTAGGGCCCCTGGCACGTTCCGTGGTGACAACCTGCGGCACTGCAACGGCAGTGTGGGATGGCCGGGTAGTCACCAGTTACGAGCCAGAGAAACCTTGATTTAACCTCGGCGCCGGCCGTGGCGGGGGGCAGTTCGTTCGGGCGCGTCTCTCGTAACTGGACTAGACTAAGCTGTAGCGCATCTCCATCTCGGGGTGTCTTCGCCGACAGCTTCGCCGTTCCTAACGTCGCGCGACGATACCTGCCCCGCCATCACGACGCTTGTCCGAGATGAGAATGACAGGGCCTATTTCCACCACACCTATGACGATGGTCAAGACTCGACGTTGCGTTTCCCCAGATTGCGGGGTGTGTCAGTCAATCTACGTGGGTTCGACAGCTCCCGAAGAAACAGGATAAAAAGACTGGGCGTCCCCGAATCTTTTACAACCGTTTTTTCTCTTCTCTCGTGTGCGTCAGCATCTTCCTAAACCTCTTCGCCTCACCTCCACAACGATGCCCTCCCTCAAATCCCTCCTCCTCCTCGGCGCAAGCCTGGCCGCGACCTCGGTCCAGGCTTCGCCCATCCAGTCACTCGACTTCAGCGGCACCTCCCTCGCGCCCCGCGCTGACCCGAGTCTGACGGGCTATCTCGGTGCCTTCTTCCTCGGCGCGGACCCTTACGTGTACTTGTACCTCTCCAACGGCAACAACCCGACCTCGTTCCGCGCGCTCAACTCTGGCTCGCCCGTGATTCGGCCGACCAAGGGAACGGGCGGTGTGCGTGACCCTGCTATCGTTGTCGGTGGTGGCGCGGAGAAGGGGAAGAAGTGGTATATCGTCGGTACGGACTTGGATATCGCAAAGGTATGCTTCGGTTCATGACTCTGATGCGGAACCCGGGCGCTGATCGTGATCTTACTTAGACTACTTGGGATGCGGCCCAGAGACAGGGGTCCAAGGGCATCTTCGTCTGGGAGAGCACGGATCTCGTCAACTGGAGCAACGAGAGACTCGTTGTTGTCGAGAACTCTAGCGCCGGCATGGTGTGGGCTCCCGAAGCCATATGGGATGCTGCCAAGGGCCAGTACCTCGTCCACTGGGCCTCCAAGTTTGTAAGTCTACGCACCACCTTGACAATGCTTTTTTTTTTTTTTTCCTCCGAGACTGTTGGAAAACTGACCCACGGCGTAAACAGTACCCCGCCTCGGACCCGAACCACACCGGCAGTCCCGGCGCCATCGTGATCCGCTACGCCTACACCTCGGACTTCAAGACCTTCTCCACCCCGCAGACCTACATCGACAAGTCCCCCACCAACATCATCGACCTCAACATCCTCCCCACCGGCACGGACGGCAAGTCCTTTGTGCGCTTCCTCAAGGACGAGTCCCTCAAGACCGTCTTCGTCGAGGTCTCCACCACGGGTCTGTTCGGTACCTGGACCCGTCCCGGCGGCAGCTCCGCTGTTATTGCGAGCGGCGTCGAGGGTCCCGCGTCGTACTGGGATAACCAGGTTGCGGGCAAGGCGCATGTTTTGCTTGATTTCTATGGTGACGATGGGTACAGACCCTATGAGACGACGAATGTGGCGAGTAACTCGGGATGGACTGCTAGTTCGAGGACTGGATTCCCTAGTGGGTTGAGACATGGTGGTGTTTTGCCTGTGAACCAGACTGTTTACGATGCTTTGGGAAAGCGCTGGGGTTGAGTGACAGAGGGGTATAGAATATGAGAGTAGTTGTAATGAGTGCACATAATCCACTGCTGAGCGAGTTATCTGAATCAACATAACTTCCAAGGCTATCTGTCCCGCAATTGTGCTTGATTCTTTTGTCCTCCGTTTCGTCTCATGTGTTTTTTTTTCTTATGGCCTCTTTGTATCTAAGCCATGTAAGCAATCGCGTCCAGAATATTTGGTGCTGTTCGAAAGCAAAACTCACTAATACCCCGTCTTCGCGTCTCAGGAGCCGCCTCCCAGGGGGGGGATGGTTGAGGTGCGGTTGTCAATTCGAAAACAGAGCGCACAGGTTTAATGCATCTCAACAACGCAGTAATAAGTGACATTCAGTGAAAATTGTGATTCTGGATCAGGTACCATGGTAAGTACCACCCACGATCATTTAGTAAAGCCAAATATGCCTCGAATACACATGTAGCCAGCGTGATGGCAGGAGCTCCATAGAAGTACAGGTCCGGGTGATGTAAAATGCCCCAGACTGTATGCGCCGCGACCCTCACTCCTCCGCCGAACAAAAGTCTGGTAGCAATCTCGCTTCATCTAGATCCAAACACGCCTGGGCCAGGGAGAGCTGGTATTGAAGTCTCGTTAACTCGAGCGACTTTTCTGATATAATCAAAGACTTAACGCCGACATCATACGACCATTTCGCAAATATTATAGACGTGAGGCCGAGTATGAATCCTACGAAAGCAAGCAAGGCGGCTGATATCGCTATCCAAAAGTTGGCCGATTCCAGCAGGTCGCTCTTATCATGTCTTGGCAGAAAGCGCCAAATCCCGCTACGTGGACCTTCATAGACATCTATGAGCTTCTCAATTCTGAGGGCCCAATGAGAGTAGTCTTGCAGGTTCAGCTTTCGATCTCGACCACAATACCCCAAGCTGTAGAACTTTTGATGTCGTTCCTTCAAGAACGATTCAACGTCGCGATCATGCTGCGGGAAGAGTAAATTAAGAGTGCCGAGTGCTTCGCAAATTATCTCTTGCGGAACAACACAATGATGGTCGGGGTTAGCGTGGGCTGAAAGCCAGATCTTGTGCTGGAAGACAAATATTACTTTCGATCCCCCACTGATTCGGTATTCCAGGTGCTTATCTAGTCGATCCGTCCAGTAAACTCTACATTTGTTGTAACGGAAGAGGTTGCTGATGGTGAGATTTTGATTGATTGCACGATCTCCTGCAATACGAGCTGTCGGAAAAGCTTCTACCATCTTTTCGTTGAGCGACGTTTTTGCCTCCCAAGTGGTCATGGGCTCTCCCTCAACACCCACAAGTGATTGTACTCGAATCTTCGACATGATGTTGAGAGTAGCTGCTGTAGAGATCATTCTGTCTCCGTGCTCAGCGAATTGTCCTAATGCTTCTTGTCGACCTTCGAGTGCGTCCATAATTCTTTCGATTGGTTGATTCTTGAGTTCCCGCACAGAAGCCATGCAACGCGCCATTCGATCAATCTCGTCATCTTCCGGGATGATCTGAGAGAGCGTGGTTCGGTTTCCAAAAATCTCGGCCCTAGCATGATTAGCTAGATTAGTATATTGGTCCGCGCTGAACACATCTCGCGATAAGGCAGGCCAAAGTTTCGAGCAGACAACGTAATCTTCTTCTGTCGCTTTCGATCTCCGGATACCAAGTGCGCTCATGATTAGCGGTCGAAAGAGTAGTCACGAAAGAAACGAGCATTGTTCCGCCTGCATCCTGAGTTGAATTTGTCGGAGGTTGGAGAGGAAATATGTATCTCTGCCACAGAGCCTGATCCGTCACGTCATAGGTAAGCCTTCGACCTTCTGTCCCGGTTCTGAGCTGTAAGTAGCTACAGAGGTGGCGCCTGCATGTTGGAGTGCTCCATGGGATTCGGTGAAAGCCTCGTGCAGAAAGCTGATTTGATCATGCACATGTGCAAGTGAGCACAGCCTGTCCTTCAAGGAACTTCGCTACGTCGACCAATGGCTATGCCTGTGTGATTTTGCAGTCGGCGTTCGTTTCTCACCTGCTACCCCGCTCGAATGACGGGAATAGTCGTGTTGAGCTCAGTCCCATCGAGGCACGAGAAGTTTCATTGTTTCAAGCAGACGTAATCACGACATGGCTTCCAGGACCCAACTGAAATTGATCAAAAATGATGCTGGGGAGCCCAGCATGCCACAGCAATGTGCAGTCATTCCCAAGGAGCAAGATTGCTCAGCTTCGAAAGGGCAACAAAAGCCAACAACATCGAGCAGGCGCGTTTCAGTAACGACAAAGGATCCGAATAAAGACTTGGTGGAAACACTCGCTGAGGCAGACATGCTTGAAGCTAGTCAGCCGGATTCAAATGCTAAATCGCAGAAGTCGTCAAACAAGGGCCGTTCGACCACGACTAGAAAGATTGACGACATGAACGCAATAACTTTGGCCAATGATCAGTGGGACACTGGGAAAAGACTTTCTAAGTCACATCAATCCTTTCCGGGCGTTGAGAAGTTCTCGGTGCAGGTTAAGTCTCCTGAAATCTGGAGATTTCCCGGGTCGAACGTCTGGGTGGCTCGAGAAAGCAAGATTCCCGTGCCTGAGCACGTGAAGTCCAGGTGGCCCGAGATCAGAGATCGCTTGCTAATTGACCTCAGAGAAGTTGATGCTGAAATGGTAGCGGAACAGACACATGGAAAATGGGCCCCAAGCAATCGGAAAGCAGAAGAAGAATATTCCCGGAGTTAAGGATGTCGGGGCGACGAGATACAGTTCTATCCAAGTTTGTCACAATTTCGCCGTGCATCTGGGTGCTGTGTGGTAGTCGGTCATGCCGAGACAAGGTTCGGTGCATCACAGGGACTTTATCACTACCTATCAATCTCTTTCAGCCACGGATAGAAGTACACGAGGGCGCTCCCGAGCCTCACTCAAGAGGAACGATCGTCCCTCTTTCCCGTCTACAACTTGACCTAGAACAGAACTTGGGCCTGAAATACATGTCAGGAGCGGTCATCCATCACGTTGCAGCGGATCCACCCACTTTTGAAAGCAACTCAGCATGTGGCCTGCTGTGCTGCTCAACGTTCCTGGAAGATGGACAAGTCGTCACACAACACGTTTCACGAGTCGGAGGCCTATTAACACATCACTTTGGAAACTATAGTCCCATCGACTCTCCTGTAGCAATCACTACTTCCCATGGAATCTTCAACAATATTTTGACCGAAGAAAACGAGATTGAGGCCTTGAAAAACCCTAGAAATGTCGATCCCGATGAACAACGACTTGGAAACGAAACGACATCCGAAAACGAACCGCACTGCGATTCAGACTCGTTTCTTGAATCTCCTGGAAGTATCGACAGTGGTTCGTTGAGTTCCAATTCGGATCAAGAACTTTTGGGGGACAAGCCATTCGGTGATTCAACCGAGTGGCTGTGTTTGGATGAAGTTGTTGGGATTAAGTTCCTTCAGAGAGTTCTCCCAGAACCAACATCGCCCGACAATCGAGTCTCCGGAGTTTTCAAGCCTGGAGACTACGCTTTACTGAGATTCCATCAACTAGCGAGGTTGAAAAACATCACATCCCGATATCCCGAGGTTGAGATCACGTCTTATTTGACCAACGACGAGCTTGGAACCGGGATGTTGATGGCTGTGTTCGGCATCGACGATCTATCAGAGGCTTTCTTGCTTCCCGGTATCATAGCGATGCCTCTCGGCCCAGGTTATTTGCCAGTACGAAAGATTGAGCTCCTGCGGCCCTTAGGTCAGGACACACTGGGAAATTATTCTGCGAGAAGAAGAAGTTGTGCAGCTAACTTACTTGTGTACTATTAGCGGCCGGTACATCGGGAACATGGCTGACAAGGGGGTCCTCGCTGGCCGGAATGATTGTTGCAGCTTATCCAGGACAACCCCTGGCACTATTTGTGACGGCGGAAGACCTATTGGAAAATGCTCGGGACTCATTTCCCGAAGTATTCGGTACCTCCCTTGGAGACCCAAAGGCGCCAATGACTGAAGAGAATAACCAAAAGGCCGACGCTTCGTTAAGAGGAGGCCAGGGTGCTCAAGCTGCGGCGAGTCCTGTGGGTAAAGAAGATACCTTTAAAGGCCAACACTCGTGGTTTCACTCCATTTTGAATGCAATCGGACTCGGTAAAACAGGGGAGACTAGTAATCGTCCAACGATTCAACCGTGGGCAGGGACAGAAGCTGATAATGACGATGAACACTTATCCGAGTCTCATGGCCCCCCAAGAGCAACGACGCCCTCCATTTCAGGAAGTTCGCTATCGGTTCCAAAGAATGAGGGCATCAAGTTTGAACCAGAGCCTACAAGAATACCATCATATCATCGTCCCTACATTCCCGGCTCAGGAGTCTCAGCCCGGAGTCCAGGACCAGCCACGACGCCAAAAGCAGGCCCGAATTCCAGAAAATTTGTTCATGTCTGGACTTGTGTATGGCAAAATCTTGTGTCATTGCTCTTCACTGTATTGCGGCTCACATTTAAATAGTGTCAATGCGGCGATAGAGGTAGGACAACAGCGACGAGCAGCTGCCCAACCTGTGGTTACAGGCGGTGTTTACGCTGTGTAGTGTCAACCCGCCGGGGTCGCTGAGGACCGCTTCGGCGTTTTCAAGGGGCGGAAAAGCCATCCAGCACCTTTCACCGAGAGTGAGACTATCGGTCGCCCATTTCATTTCTTTCAGTCGATGTGGAAATTCAACATCGCCGATATGACTAGGTAGGATTGAGTTGAAACATATGTGAACGACGAGGGAATAATAGACCCAAGGGCCTCCGAGTTGGGTTCAATGTATTCATGCCGGTGAGACATGATGACTGTATTTGATAGTGTATTATCTCTACAGTTGCCTCGGATTGATTCAGGACGAGTGCTTGTAGGCTTGATCTGCAATTTTAAGATGCGGTTTGCGCTGAGTGGAGTGCTAAAGGTACAGCCCTCGTGAGGTCGCGTAGGGGTGATTTCAGAGTATATAAAATCTAAGTTGAAGAGGAGAGATTTGGAACGGAGTTTCCGCGGAGGAACAATGCTCAAGTACGACCAACGCGGAAGCAGCGCATTAAGTCGTGGCAGAATTGGGGCTTCAGACCGGATCCACTAATCGGGTCCAGGCCGTAACAGAAAGAATCTCGCTGCCTCATTGTGTGGCATTGCATAAGTCGAATAAGCTTTGTAGCTTAGGTAGCTTACATGTCCAGTGGAACTGTTGCTGCGGCGCATGGAGCATCCATACAGACGGCTTCCGTCTCGCATGTCACCACCGACGCAATCCTTAATGTCAGTTATTGAAGATGGGAAGATTAAAGATATCAGACGATGCCTAGTTGTTCAAAAACAAAATATCAGAGGTGACATAACAAGGTCCACAAACGGTCCTGATTGCCTTCGAACGTAAGTTAGCCTCACTTCATTGATTATTGATAAGCACTTACCTACCTACATGAAGGGAATGTTGTTTACTCAAGCTATCGATTGAATTGCCCGACGTACCTATGTGGCATCCTTCGTGCGTGGGTAATCGAAGGTGGATCACACAAACAGTCAAGAAGCAGTTTTCGGAGATGACTCGCCCTGAAATAAGATAAGCTCGTTGATCTGAGCCTTCATCTTCACTCAGGTTTGAATCCGAAATGTCATCTACCGACATATCTCACTTAGGACTTAGTAGCAGTGTGCGGCATACATGTTGTCCTGAATGAAGTTAGTAAAATGCTTCGGTATATTACATATCATAGATTATTAGCCCTTTCGGGCCGAAAACAAGGGACGAACTCTTGGAGGAGTTCGCAGAGGCCAAGAATAACAGCTGGGAGGAATAGAATGGTTCATCCGCCTCCCTGTCAATCGGGTACTTCTTCTTACAAGTTACAGTTTATTAAAGCGAGTCAGCAAACAACGATGTGAGTCGCTGGGAGTGTTTGAGAAGAAATTTTCTATTCCGTCAAACGCCAAGCTAATTCCCTGTTCCAAAGTCGTCTGGAAAACTCATCCGTCAACTCAACAGAGTCCCGCCCCTCTTCAAGCTCCAACCTTCCTTGACAAGCCAGAATGAAGCCATGGCCGGCGTTGTGAGAAGACCGAGAAGTCCTCCAAGGATTCCTTTGAAGGCTTCGGGCGCCCACTTGGACTGAAAATACCAGTCCCAATCATTCCCTGATCCCCGGGTTCCGATAACGGTCAAAATCCCGACTGACGCTGGCCAGAGCAGAAAGAATGAAACAACAAAAATCAAGCCGATCCGAATCAGGTGTTCAGCAAACACCGAAAGTCTGCTCTTGGTGTGTCTCGTATCTTCTAGATTAAGCATCATGAACCACCGCATGAAAGGTTGCGAAGGTTCTTCGATGAAGCCTATCGGACGGACGCTCCCATTCTTCATGTCGCGGTTGGCGAGAAAAAGTTCGATGAACCACGTCATTGTCGTTTGGATGATCATGGTCACTACTGCATCCCCAGCTAGTGTGTTGGGCAACTGGAATAGGCGAATGGGATTGCGCGTGATGTTCTGAGTTGAGTACATGCCTGCATGGGTTGTGTCAGTAAACTCTCACGTTGCTGCTTGGTTCGCCAAAAGCTTAAGCTCAGCAAAGTGTTGCGGGGCCCTACCGTAAGCGATAGCAAAATTTATGCCCCCAGAGAGAACTGCGGCGCCAATACCGTCGAGTCCAAAGATGTAAAAGATTTGATGTCCACTGATGCTGTCCGTTGGCTGCTTCTGGTGAGGTCCGGCAGGCTTGACTTGAACGCCAGCCTCGATGTCGCTTTCATTCGAGACCCTTTCATTAGAGATTCTCTCGTTGCTATTGCCGCCGGCATATGTTGAGGCCGTATTGTCTTCGAACGACTTGTCCGCTATGCGTTCGTGTTTCCTGGATGGCATATTGTCTGAAAACTTAGGATAGAGCCTATCTCATGGAGGGAAGAAGTTGCAAATTGTTGAACCAGGACGCTTCTTTATTGCAAACTATGCTATCTGTCTTTGTTTTGAGGAGGGCAACTTGTTGTGGAAGAGGGTGTGAAGGGGGGCAACGAGCAGGGGGTCTGGAAGGGTTTTTTTCCTTCCTTTAAAAGGGGGTCCTAGGTGACTCGTGAGGCTGCTTCATGATCGCCGAAAATTTCCGGAATGACCGGGGGAGGCTGTCGAATATTGGTCGCTTTGGCGTTTCGACCAGTGGGTTTGTGAGGTGACACGGGTAAGAGAATCAAGCGAACAGGTAAAATCCACTAGCTTGACTAGCTCCTAGACAGAGTTGCACTGATGAAAAGGGTCCGTGATCTTCGCTATCCGTCTACGGATAGATGTGGATGTTTGTCAGCGCACAGACTAGATCGGGAGTGCCGGGGTAGATGGAGACTGGCAGATTCCCATCTTTGCGTCAGAGTTGCTATGCATGGCGGTAGTTGAACGAATCAGGCGGCTTCTAGATTCCTTCTTTTCCGTCGATTGCGTTCTCCTGCATGATCTTCCTGTCGAAACGGTCTTCTTCCTTTGGAGAACAGACAATGGTTGATATGCAGAACGTATCCGAGCTTGGGTTCCAGCCAAACGTGGCTGTGCAATGTCAACGACTTGCGCTGTTGTTTAGAGTTAATCATGCGAACCAGAGGAGGAGGTTGGAGAGAAAAAGAGAATGGGATTTCATGCCACGATAGTCCCAGTTCTCGCCAGGCGAGTGTGGTCTGCGACCGGAACTAGCTCGTGATCGACAGCTGGCAGCGCCGGATGTTTGGATGGGTTGCCCATGTAAGTCGGGGGCGGCCCCACAGACACCTTACTGATCGCCTCCGGAGCGGATGGGACCATCCCGGATGACACGGCTGGGAATAGCAACTACTCCCGCCTCCACCATTTGCTCAGTGCCAACAAAGTCTTGCCGACATGGATTTCCCCACGAACTTGTCTCCATAACCATCCCGCTTTCCAGGCGATCACACAGTGCATTGGTAGTAACATGATAGCACCGCCGGCGACCCAGAGGCCCTAAAGCGCATCAACGATTTGCGTCTCATGTTTGAGGAGACACACTGGGTTTTACCCCTCCCTTGGAGGAAGAAAGACCCATCATTTATGGTGTTCCATGCAACAAGATCGAATGAAAAGCCAAATGAAGCCTAGAACATGAGATCAATGACTCGGCATCCCTTGAAACATTGTTTTCCGTACATACATAAACGTGGCTGGCCATATCCGCTCGCGCCCTCCGGTCCCCCGCCCCCAGCTTTCTCTTCGACGTGATCAGAGGCACTTCACGAGTGCCAGGCGCACAGAAAAGAAAGCCTACGATATACATTGTCTGCGCACGTTGGACGAAGCAAATTCGTTTTCACTGTTCTCTGCTTCTGAATATTGGCACGATGCTCAACGGTTACGAGTGCGACCACGACGACAAAATGAGGGGCCCATCAATGGACATTGACGAGAAAAGCACCGCCTTTTCTCAAGCTCAGATCTCAACACCTGTATGACTCGACAAACGCCAGTGCACCATTTGAATATCCAAACTGACTGTGGTATCCTTCTAGCCGGCACCGACGAGGAGACACACAATCAACACCATGATGACTACCACAATTATCCCAGAACCTACACCGCCGGTCGCGGACGCTCAACGGCGATTCTCCTGGCTGCCGAGATCCGCCACCCCATCCCTGCGTAGCCCCACATTCCGGCGGCGAACGGCGAGCCCGTTTGATGACGACGATTACTCATATGCTGAGAGCAACCCATTTGGAGAAGATTTTAGAGAGCAAAATGAGCAGGCTGTGCGGGATTGGGATCGTGAGCATGGCCACGATCACAGAGAGAATCCCTTTGAAGACTGCGAGTACGAGCTGCCACCGGCGGCGGCGAAAAAGGATGGGACCTGGACCAAGTTCAAGAAGGCTATGAGTCCACGACGTGCCATCAGTAAGTGGAAGTATCGAAAGGTCAAGCACGACGGCATGCGACCTGGGCCTGATGATCCAGACCACGGTGAGGGCAGCCATCATCAGGGGCAAGTCTCTTGATTTCGACACAATTAGTCAGCCTTGAAAGGGCAGGATGACTGTCACAGCACATATGATACCACTTGGAACGGAGATTTCGCTACAAGAGTTTGCTTTCTTTCTTAAAGTCATGGGGAAAACGGCGTTGCCTTCGAACAGAAGTGTTTTGATACCTAGTTGCCTTTGAGTTACCTGAAGCGGCGGATGAAAAGACAACCAGGCGTTGTCCAACTACGCTTAAAGCAATCAAACCCAGTTGAATGTTCATGTTATCGTGCAAAGAGAGACTCTTATCAGTATTGGCGATCAATTACAATCATCTTTACGTTGAGGTATGAAATGATAAATCAGATGAGACACTGGAGGTAAGTACTAATAATTGTATAACATTGCAAGTATATCGAGTAGCTTTTCTCATCAGTTTTCGAAATTTAAGCTATACCTGCAAATTAATAAGCCTTCTCATCTCATTGCCCATGACTCCCGGGTGCGGCACAACGATTGCACCCGCCTCCTCGAGTGCCTTTGCTTTAATATCGGCAGGCACATCTCTCGGTGAAAGAATAGCACCAGCATGACCCATCGTTTTTCCTTGCGGCGCCGTTCTCCCGGCGACCATTGCAATGATTGGCTTTGGGTTAGGCGTCAACTTTCTGTAATCTCTTATGGCCTCCGCTGCTTTTAGCTCAGCTTCGCCGCCAATCTCGCCAATGACGATGATTCCCTTGGTCTCTTCATGTGCAAAGAATAACTTGAGCCCGTCCAAAAGTGTAGTCCCTTACACATCAGATCAGAAAAAATTCAAGAGGTATGTTTAGTGGAGGTTTCTGCTCACCTGGCATCATGTCTCCTCCCATCCCAACAACGATACTCTGTCCAAGTCCAGCTTTGGTTGTGGCCCCTACAGCTTCGTAACTGAGTGTTCCGCTTTTGGAAACAATCCCAACAACACCTTTTGTGTACTGCTTGTACGGCATGATGCCAATGCGGCATTGGTCGGGTGCGATGATTCCGGGGCAATTGGGTCCCACAAGCCGAGTTCTACTTTGCGTTCGGAGAATCTCTTGAACCCTAGCCATATCGTGAAGGGGCACATGTTCAGCGACTGAAACGACGAGCGGAATCTCAGCCTCGATTGCTTCAATGATAGCCCCTGCTGCAAATTGGGCAGGAACAAAGACTGCGCTTGCGTGTGGCTTCACATTCTTTACGGCCTGTGGACAGTACCTCGTCAGCCGAAGCACATGGCTGGGAGGATATTGAGGATTTCGTACTTCTTGTACTGTGTCAAACACGGGTAGTCCGAGGTGATCCTGACCGCCCTTCCCGGGGGAGACGCCCCCAACAATCTGCGTGCCATATTCCATCGTGTCTCTTGCATTTTTGGTGGCCTAGTATCATTCAATGTCAGATCCATAGTAGCCACATCGATTTCGCCAATGCATGGTACGCACTGCTTTACCAGTAAATCCTACATGATAGTGAGTTAGCAAACCCCAAGAGCCTGAGAATAATTCAATGCATTAACACATTGTCACTTTTCTTACCTTGATATATCACTCTGGTGTTCTGGTCAATGTTTAGATTGGCAATTGTACTTTCGTATGTACCCCGATTCTCGGCTGTGAATGAGAATCCCCTGGCAAGTTTGGGAGCTCGAAGTCTCCGAGACAAGCACTTGAGTTGGGGAGACAATTTCGTGGCCATGTTGCCCTGAGACTCTCTCGACTGTGTCTCTCATAAAGCTAAAGAATTAATATGATTATTGATACGCGTACCTAAAGTACAGCAGAGCAAGGTGAAAGTCAATGATCAAAACGAAGCAAGCATGGATGGGGTCTGGAAGGCATCGGTTATGTAATTCCATATAACCGAATCGCAGGCATAGTGATGTCATTGGCGTACCTGAAGGCCCCCGCACTCGGCTATACCAAGAAATCAGTCGCGGCTACATGACCACCTGCACACCTCAACATCTTCGGACAACATCTCATGAGAGCCCAAATACTGCGGGGGGCATCTTGGGGTACCTATTTGAGCGCCAGAGGAAACGAGAGTGGTTTAATACTTGGCGACTCTTCACGGCTTAACACAGTCGCGCTCAGCAAGATTTGTTACCTTTCGGCTGGCGGCTATGACAAACCTCCGCAGGAGAGCGCGCCAGGCATGTCAGGCTTGCAATGCGCGACGCGTCAAGTGTAATGTAACCGAGCAAAGGCCTTGTCGCAATTGCACAACAGCCGACACGCCTTGTGAGCTTCGTGAGTCGAGACGGGGCAAGCATCCGCGCCCATCACGGCGAAACGCAAAGCCAGGCGACCAAAGCGGGCTAGATCAGGCCGGGTCGTCACCTTCTTTCATCGATACAAGTCTCCTTGATGAGTCAGTGGCGACTGGGAATGATGAGCACTTTGCCGCATCTCAAGCACTTGCCGATCTTGCAAGATATGGGGAGGTAGAAGGGTCGGGCGATCAGCAATGCATCACAGTACAACCTCAGTCACCATCATTGGCACCAAACAACAGACAGGAGGACGACAGCTCCGTATTCCTCGGCGAGTCATCCTCAATACGGTATGTCACCAACAGTAATCCAACCCCGCCAACAGCCGGTACATCACCACCAGAAAACTTGAGGTTTCTGCATGCCGTTCCTCACGCTGTAAGAGCTGAGAATTTACTGCCGGAATGGGAAGTAGAGCGCAGAAAGTCGAGGGTTCGTTCTTTAAAAGCAGAAGGCGTCTTTTCATTTCCACCTGTGCCAGCCGTGGAAACGTTGCTGAAGGCGTACTTCCAATGGTTTCACCCATGCTTTCCTGTCGTGGATGAGTTAGACGTTTGGACGAGCTTCAGAGATGGCACTTTATCCCCTCTGCTACTACACGCGATCCTCTTCATAGCTGTCATACACTGCAAGGAAGATGCTCTACCAGCCATTGGACTCGGAGGCCGTCATGTTGCCAAGTGGGTGTTCTACAATCGCGCAAAGGACATTTACGACGTGGAGTTCGAGCCAAAAAAGTTTACAGCCACCCAAGCTTTGTTTCTTATGAGCTTTTGGAGGGCTGGCTTGTTGCTGGAGAAAGATGCTCGGCACTGGCTGGGCGCAGCCATCAGTCTCGCTCAGACGAAGGCGCTTCACCGTTCCTCGAAATCCGCTATAACCGAGAAGAGGACGGAGAGACTTTCTAGGCGCTTATGGTGGGCCATATACATACGCGAAAGGCAGTGTGCTGCAGCATTGGGCCTGCCAAACCGGATTCGAGACGAAGATTGTGATATTGAGCCATTAGAGGAACTTGACTTCGAGCGTGCGTTTGACTCAAAGTTGCCGAGTTACAAAGCCCAAGAGTACATCTCGTACTTCATCAGCACTGCTCAACTCTCTAGAGTACTGGGGAAGATCGTTCATAGCGGATACCTCCCCAGCAAGTCACTATCCCCGAGTGATCGGTCTCAAATGAGAGACGACCTCGTGAGATGGAGACAGCAATTGCCTACAGTCATGTCGTTGGCGCTTAGTGACTTTGGCGATGCGGCGGGCTTTCATGCCAGTATGTTGCACCTGGCATACAACAACCTCCTCATCCTATTGTACAGATCAGGTTGCATTGGAAGTGCTGAAGAAAGTAAAGAAGTGGACGGGCAGATCGCCCTCCAGGCAGCGGCAAGGAACTCCCGCATCATCGAGGATATGCTATTGGAGGGGAATCTACGTCATGGACAAATACACGTCATAACAAACCTTTTCAACACGCTCTGTATTCATACGGTCCATCTTCGTTCTTCGAACGGCGCCGGAAGGTCCATCATTGAGCATAGAGCGAAGATTTGTCTTCTGGGCCTTCAAGAGCTACAAAAAACGTGGGAGGTTAGGATGTGGGTGCTGCAGTTGTTTTTCCAATATCTGGATCGATCTACGGCGGCGCGGCTACGGATGCAAGACGATCTCTCTTTCGCACCTGGACTCGACAGTATGCAGGATGTCAATACCGGTCCGGTGGTAGTGGGTGGCCTCAACCATATCCCGGCTGAGCTTGATGGCGAGGATGGACTCGATACGCTACTAGCATCCGAGCCTCCGTGGTCATGGTCCACCGAAGAAGCGAATCAATTCCTGTTTACACAGATCGAAAATGACTTCGCCTTCGGTGAGGGAGGCATTCTGAACTGGAATACGGACATGCCGGCTACCAACTTGCCATCAGTCGGTGACAACTCGCCGACAACTGTAGACTTTTGAACACAACGTGTTGGATATACTTGGAGGGACTTTTGTATGTAATTAATCAATGTCTATGGTTTGGCTTGAACGCCCAATTAAGATGGTGCACTACATCGGAATCAACAGGCGTTACCATGCATCCGCAAGCTATACTCGTATTCGGGGCTCTCCAAATATATGAGTCGCTGCCTCTGTGCGTGCACCGCAGGAGACTTTCTCATCCACTATGTTTCTGTCAATGCAATGGCTTCTTTACGCCGTTGTATTGATATTTCTTCACTTGCCATGCCTTCACGGGCTTCTTTCTGCCTTAAAACCAAGTCTTGTTCGAGTACATCAAAGCAATCTTCAGCCGGCTGACTAGGGAATGGGGAAGTGTTTGGTGTACTCGCAAAACTTGATGCCGCCTCCGACACACTCATGATCGATTGTGTGGAATCTTCCGTACTAAATGACGACAACCTCACCGACCTCGCAACACTCTTCCCCTCGGAGGCCAGCGTGGAACTAGGTTTAGTAACTGAACGAGAGAAGTAAGATGATTGAATGGGGGAGCCCGCTGGCATGACTGGCGGTCGTTTCATGCGGTCGTTTGTTTCTGACGGTTTACGTTCCCTGCTGCTGATGGCTGCTGCCGGCGAAAGAGATAGAGATCTATCCCTCCGGACGGCCTTGTCAGGAGTGGCAGGTGAACTCGGTCTTTTGCCCTCCTGCTCTCCGGTGTCAGTCACAATGTGGCAAATGTTGTCGGGCTGATTACATACAGCAGGAGATTCCACAGACATGAAGGGAAATCTCAATGGATCGGACACGCCGTCAGTCCCAGTAGTAGCGTAAGCTGCGTCACGTTTGCTCTTCCGGATCAAGTCGTTAATCACAGGCTGTATCCTCGAGCAAGCCCATCTCTCTTTAGCATCTGGCACAAGCATTGTGTACTGAATGAGGTTCAGCAGTTCGTGCACGGGCTCAGCACAGCTCTTCTGGTGATGTAGGTTATCAATCCACTAACAATATTTAGAAAGGTTGCGGAAGGTATGTATCCCCAGGAGCGCGACGGCCTCGTTGGGACCACTTACATCAGTGACGGATGTCTTCACATGAGCCGTCGAGGGTGCATCATCTTTACTTGGATTAAAGTTAAAGAACTTATCTTCAACAAGAATCCTCGACCCAGTATGCAATCCGTCTTCTTGGATCCGAGCATCTGTAAAATCGTTTTGTGTTCGATCGTCGCCGACAAGAAACCACGATACGAATTCGAGGAAGACGCAACCCAGGGACCAGATATCATACCTCTGCGATATGGTTCTTTTCAGATCCACGTCGGGAGGCCGATAGGACCCCGAGAAGCCTCTGAGTGCGTCATAAGCGACTTGAGATCTGGAATCGACACTGTTGAATCGAGTTAACCCAAAATCGGAGATTACAAGAAAGTTGCGATGCGACTCTTCGTATTTCTTGAACCAAAGAATGTTCTCTGGCTTGATGTCGCCATGCCGGCCCCAGTGTTTGTTATCAAGCAATGCGTTTGGGTCGTTTGAAACAGGGATATAGTTGTCTTCTTTGGACATGGTCCTCAGATTATGAATTCTTCGAAGAGCGCGGACAAGGCCTGAACATTGGCTGAGGAACCAGACGGTCTCAGCTCTGTTACCTGGGTTGGCAATATTTCTGCTCCAGAATTCCTTCAGGTTACCATCTGCCCAGGGAAACACCAGGTAGTAAGACTGGCCATATTTGTAGGTGAGCTGAAGCTGGATTAAATGGTCGGGGTTTGGCCCTCTTGATCCTACTCCTAGTCTTTCAAAAAGCTCCACTTCTCTCGCATACTCTTCATGAGTTTCAAGATGAAGTTGCTTGACCGCGAAATGCCGGAGGACTTTCCCTCGGTCCTAAGGAAGAATGAGAAAACAAGCGTAGTTGTAAGGCCAAAGGTCGTGACTTGCCTTGGAAATAGTATCGCGGCTATAATGCGCGTGGTGGATTCTGACTTTTCTAACGCTTCCATAGCCGCCAATTCGAACTAAGTCATATTCTTGGAATGGCAGGATTGTTTTTGATGTGATCTCGTAGTAGTGCACGTCATCGCCTGGGAGTTTAAAAAATGGTGTGCAAATGGCCTCCTGGCATTGAACAAAGTTGTTGATGTGCTTGGTACGCCAATGGTTTAAACAACTCAAAATTGTACCCTCTTTCTTCTGAAGTTGGATGACAGGTTTGTGACGGGAGTTCCGTTTTATTTCCAGAGGCAAAAAGCTGTCGTCAATATTGTGTTTAATGAAGTCTTCGATTAACTTGACTTGCTCCATTAGAATCAGTATAGCAAATATCTTGCGTCGTCGTGGCTGGGTCTTGACCTCATCTGGCTTGCCACTGATACTGGACACCCAGCTATTGATGACTTTGGGTTTGAAATGGGGGAATGCATGCCCCAAAAGCCTCTGTACGGCCGACGGAGTTACGATTCGGCGGAGTGCATCGAGAGGCAAAAAGCCTTTGTCTTCCGACGCAGAAGTTATGCTGGCGGCAAACATAGCGTCGCTCATGGTCTGAACATCGGCGTCGTCGTTGGTGTTGTCCTGAGGCCGCGGTGTAGCATGGGTAGATTGTGATGCCTGGGTCCTTACACCATCATTCGCCACCTCCGATGACTCCCACGCAATGTAATCTGAATGGCCCATATCCTGCACAGGCACAATACTCAGAAAGCTGCAGTTAGAAGCTCCAGCATCGGATGAGCCGCCTCTGAATGATGCTGGGTTCTGCTTCTCTCCGTAGATGAGCTGGGAATTTCCTGCCGCCTCTTCGTGACGCGTTTCAGTAACGTCTTCATCGGTGACATTGATGCGCCATGGAATGAGTGGGCCGCTTTGACTAGAGGCTTTTGTTCCCACTTGTGACTTTTTGGAAGTCGAATCGGAACGTCCGAGCTGTGGTGCCTTAATCTGATTCGAAGTTGTTATTTCAGATGTTGGTCCGTTTGGAATCGGGAATTCGGCGAGGCCCAAAAGCTCTCGGTCAATGCCTGCTCGTTTTGTAGGATCCATCCTTAAAGGTACCTCACGGCGGACAAGCTATTGGAAGTGGAACAACTAAGTGAACAGGAACAAATTCAAATCTGTCTCGTACGATGATTGCAGGGTCTATGCTGATGACCTTGTTATGACAGCTAGCAGGCAGCTGGGCAAATCATGCGCGAAAATTATTATTGATGGTTGAGTTAACAGGTAAGTAGGTGTTAGACCAGATGTCGGTGCTAGACCCCGCAGTTCCCATTTCACCAGTCGCCTTGAGCGACGCTGGACTTAAATTATCATACACCACGTACTCATTCCTGTACCAATATGATGTGTGTTACTGAGACATTCCGATCGATCAAAATGGATGGAATGGCACAGCCCTATTTACCTTGATACTCAGGCTTCTTGTAGTGTTCTCTTCTCCTAGCCTACCTCGAGTTACACTGGCAATACCCAATAAGCAGATCTGATGCTACACCACCTTTTCTCATGTCACCGAGACTACTAGAGGCTAAGCCCCCTGCAGGTATCCGGAAAGCCTAGTAGGCGTCTAAGGGAAGTCCTGTGCAGCGGGAGGCTTGGGGCTGAGCGTCGAGGTGGTTCGCCATAGCCTGCATACGGGACTAACACCACATCACTCGATCTAGTGTAGCCTGGGCAATTGCTGCTTGCAGCCAGTCAAACATCATTGCGACCATGAATCAGAAACCACCGAAGCCATACCTCCGATCTTCCTTGGTCAGGTCAGGCTATGCCAGCTGAGGCCAGCAAATGATCACGCACGCGAGCACAGCCCCAGCGCCCCCGTCAGGCAACTCTCCGAATTCGATATGTCTATTTCAGTCACAATGACACCCGCTTGCCGCCTGACGCGGCGGTATTTACAAAATTCTAAGGCTGGGAGATTGGGCTTTTCTCGGTAACTTCCTCCACATCTTTGAATGTTGTCGCGAGCGTCTAGATTTAAACACCACAGCTGCTCACTGGAGATTGCAATCAAGAAGCCAGCAAGGAACAGTACAAGCTCTGAATAAAAAGCTCAGTGATACAATGCCGCAATACACATCTGTCAAGGATTTTGAATCAGGTCACTACGATCAGCAAGAACCTGTAGAATTGCAAATTCACTCGAATCTCACGAGCTCTTCTCAATTGCTACGGGCGCTAGAGAGACGACTACCCAGCGGCAGTTATACCGTAGAGATGCGGCATAATATCTACACGGTTCGAGTCGATGGTCAGAGAGCTCCGTCCGAAAGCTCGATGCTGAAAGCAAGTAAATACCGACTGTAGGATTCCTCTGGTATGTGAATTCGGCACATGAAGTGCAAGACTGCAAGTCTCTGAGGACGCGGATGCTGATGCTTCATGTTAGTACATGTATAATTTATGAATGTTCCATCTATTAGCATTGAGCTCCGAGAGATCCATCAAAGCAATATGGAACAGCGCAGACTGCGCGAGCTGGATACTCGCAACTATCGAGAACACAGGCTAGACAGCCTAAGAGAAAGGACAAATGATTCCGACATAGACTCAGTAGAAATCGAAGGAGATGGAATTTAACGAATTGAATTATCTTATCTATTTCACACCAAGAATGCAACGGCGGCCGTCGGCATCGACAAAAATCAGTCATGCCTGGCTAAGCCTTTCGATCCATGTTTTCAAAATCGCTTCTTCACATAAATATTGACGCATCGCACACACACACAAGATGATGGCCAGCTGAAAGTCAAATACTTGTTTGATAGAATAAGGTCAGCAGAAAGATGATCAGACAATGAAAGAAAAAACACCCTGTTTTGACACAAGTGTCATAGTTAAGAAGCACGAGATTCTATGAAAGAATTCTTGGAAACCTACTGCACCTCGACGTTGAGCTGCGGCTCCCGCAGTAGTATGTGTTCGGCCAGTAATCTTCCTACGCCAACGCGTTCATATCGGCCACCTTGTTCTCCAGATAGCCTCATAAGCACGAGAACATAATGTTCTGGCTCCCGGATCAAACCCTCTGTCTTCTCCTTCCCAATGATGATGCATCTTAAGTGGTCTATCGTATGCGGCTTTGACTCGTCGAATCTGACTCTTTTGAGGAGTTCGACGGCATCCAAGCTGATGCGGCTTGCAACTCCACGAAGGAGAGGAATCTTACTCCCCTCGGAGACTTCCCAATGAGTTTTCTTCCCGCTGTCAGTGTTGAAAGGCGTGACAATATCTTTGGTCCAGTTGATATGTTCGAAGGGAGCCTCAAGATAGGTTATTGGGCCTTCATATGCCATCCAGGACCAGGAGGGGACTCGCCTATCTGGAGGGTATGAGATTCTGTCAAGTGACGCATCAGGAGCTTTCTGCCAAAGAAGACTTCGTTGAAGGTATTCGTCGAAAATTCCAAATCCTCCTTTGGTAAGAAAATCCTTGACCAGCCTCTCTTCCAGACCCTTGATTCCAATGGACCGATCGCTCGGTACTGTGAATGCGAGCCGGGAATACATCTGATAAAGGGTTTGGAATGTCACAATTCGGCCTCCTTTGAAGTACTCTAAGGCTGATTTGGGGAAATCAGAGTCCCCGAGAAGGGCAGCTTGTCGGCTTATTGGATCAATGTCAGCCATTCATAATTCAAAAGCCAAATATTCAGGACGTACTTAGAAAGCTTCATCAAACTCTCGCAATGAACGCCCTTCCCGCATTCCCAATATACCTGAGATGCTGTGAAGTGAAGTGTTCGGCGCGATAATGCCCTCTCTTGTAACACCCATCCGCGCTGGTTGAGAACAGCTTGTTCGACATCTTGGTGGAAGTCATCGATCGACTTGCGCACGAATGTAAAGACACCGCCGGATCCCTCCAATGTTACGAATGGATGGTTTGCTTTCTGTCGCAAGAAGCCTTCAGCCGAAGAAGACGCTGCTGTGGCTGCAATGGTACAGTAAGCAGAGCTGAAGACATGCTCCATGCGTGTGGCCTCGAAAGCCCAGTCCTGCTTATCATTCTGGATAATGCAAAGTGAATCAATCCATAGGTATCGTAGTCCCAAGGCTCTCGTGATCTTAACCGCATCTTGGAAACTCTTTGGGAGAATGCCGAAGTCAATCTGCTCGCGGAAGACATCGATATTCTCCTTCAGAGTACGAACTTGAGCTTGAGAATTTACTCCCCAGCAGTGACTCAGAGCAGTGTATCGTTCGAGTGGAAGAGACTTCCCGTCGCAGAGACGAATAGTAGAGTTCGGGTCTATTCCAACATCAAGAAGGCGAGTGGGTAACTCGGTACGATCATCGACGGCATGACTGTGTTGTTCGTCACACACGCGTAGCCACTCATTCAGCAGAACAAATTGCTCAGGGGAGCCTGTTTCCGGTAGGGTAGGAAAGCCTATCTGTGCATGCGGAGGTATAGAGCCGTCGGTCGCTATTGTTGATTCTAGTGAGCAGGTATCTTCTGTCAACAATGCGAATGATTTCCTTCCGATACTTACCTGGGTTTACATAAAGACTCAAAATGGTGGGGCCATCGGGATCAATCTTCAACGATGAGCCTTCTCTTCGACACTTCAATTCGTGGCCATCTTCCATGCCAAGAAGTTCAGCACTCTGCACTAAAAGGGCGCATAGCTCGCAAGTCTGAGATCTGGTTTTGATATCTACAAGTCGTTCACAAATAAAAAACATCGGCGTCCAGACATCATACCCCTTGCAATTGCTGCAGAGTATGGAACCTTGGGGGGTCGGTGGAGGCGATGCAGATTTGCGATAGAATTCACTAGCAAAATCGCTATCACTCTGCAACTCCCACACATCTCGGAAGTTGTCAAGTTGCTGGTGAAAATTAGCTGGAGCAGGATGCCTTGAACATGGGGTTTTCATAAGGCTTACACGCTACATATCATTAGCTACAAATCTCTTCAAGGATGTTAGAGAGACTTACCATCTATCGCGGGGTTAGAAATGAGTAAATTCGACTGATTAGCATTACCTGAAGGGAAACATCAAGGATTTTGATGTCAACTAGAAAGCGCTTACGTTCTGGAATGACTGGAGTTAGTATGAAAGATACCTAGAGACCGCACGGAATTAACCGTCACAAAGATCTGACACTCACATACTGTGCACGAAGTATCTCATTAGCATCAATTCTTATGGAGACTGCTATGTAGTATCATGCCAGGATTTTCTTACTTCTTGAGCATTAAGAATCGGAACTTGCATGTTGACCTTGCTTGGTTCAGCATTGGGTTCAACAATTACAGGAGTGTCTGGTATGGGCACGTCCGGTGCGCGCTCGAGAAGCGCAGGTTGTGGTTTTTGACCTGTGGGTGCGCGACCTCGGAGAGGTCGTTGGTCAGGAACTTCCAGGTTAAAGCGCCTGTGTTCAGCGGGGACTGCGCTAGTGCTGATGCGATTCCAGAGAGTAGGATCCAGCAGATAGTCTTCCTGTGCTTGAGCTTGTTCAAAGATACTCCTCAGCCTTTCGTACAGTTTTAGAGAGTTTGTCCGGCCTTCGACTTCAGGTACTAGCATGTTAAAGTCGATTAGCTCCAATACGTCTTTCAGCGCAGTGCTGGAAGTAATGTCGTTTCGCCGGAGGTCCTTCGACATGCGAGAAATCCAACGCTTGACCTCGCGATGCTGATGGTAGCCTTCATCATCCTTGCTCCAGAATTTCTCTTCGATGCTGGCCCGGTTAAAGTCCCTCAATTTGCTGTTGCCATAAAGCACCCAGATGAGAAATTCGAGGAAGACGCAACCCAGTGACCACACATCGTAGAGTCGGGAGATTTGCTCAGTAAGCCCGAACTCCGGAGGTTCATAACGGACAGTGCCAGTCATGGTATTCGTCGGCTGGTTCCGATTTCTGGTATCATCGAGATGGAATCTAGCGAGGCCTACGTCGGCGACTCTGAGAATACCATTGCTGCCGGTTTCGAGGAAATGAAGAATGTTCTCGGGCTTCAGATCTCCGTGTCGGCAGTTCCTTTCGTGCAAAGCACTGATGGATCCGCAGATCCCTTGTAGTTGTCGTAGAACCCAAAGAACAAGATGAGGGTCTCTGACAGGCACAGGTCGCAACTTTTCTTGAGAGCCCCAGAATTCTTTCAGGTTGCCACCCTCCCCCCAGGGGAAAAGGAAGCCCCTGAGATCACCTCTTCGATATGCCGCTAAAGGTTTAATGAGATGCGGGTTGTCAATATTGCGTATCGTTTCCAGAATATCCGCCTCTTTCTCATAGTATGAGTCCATCCCAATTCTCATCTCCTTCGAGGCGACACGAATCTGCTTTCCCGTAACCTTTGATTAATTGTAAGCGAATGAAGTACGTCTCGACAGGGCAAGAACCTTTACCAAGGGCAGTACCTTCTGATGTGCATCATGGATCACCACTTCAAACACGGAACTGAAAAATCCCGCCTTTTGGTGGTTGATCTTCACGATGAAAGGAAGAGGGCAGGAAGGGTGAAGTTTATGACGAAAGCAATTGGCAGTAAAGACAGGTGCAAGAAATTGCCATTGACTGTGAAAGAAACTGTCGAGAGTCAGCTTCCGGCGGCTCGCGAATAGAGGCCACTTTTTGCCGCCATCGATGCTTTCCATGAAGTACCCATTCGTGTTAGGGCTTCTCACAACTTTGACGGGCAGGTCATTGTCATGAAACTTTTGAGGAGCATTGGCTAGATCTTGAAGTCGCTTCAGATCATCGCAGACAACCAGAGTAAGAAACAGTTGCCGAGCAGGTTGATTTGGGTTCGTGACATAGGCTACAAGGGATGATAGTTGATCACTTGTCACATGTGCCTCGAGCTCTTCCTCGACAATACTTCTAGATGTCAAGGCGTTGATAATGTCGGCCGGCAGAAAGTCTTTGTCATCCTCGGTCTTACGAAGCGCCTGAATGATTTTTTCCTCGAGTGAATCATCGCTAACAGAGGAGCTGAGAGGAGAAGAAGTTGCTTCGGGTGGGTGCGTTTGGGACATGCCTGATGAGACAATACCATCAGTGTTCGAAGGAAGTTCCGTAGGCAGAGATCCTTCTGCTCGACGTAGTAATCAGCATTGCCCAAATCCCGATCAACAGAGGTGTTTGTGTGAGATCTTGGCCTGATAAGGTGATCTTGGGCAAAGCTCGAGATCTGTGACACAGTCCTTCCAACAGGGCACTCACCTCTATCCGACAAAACTACGGAGCGTTCATCATTGTCTTCCAGAAGCGCCATCTCGCCCAAAGGTCTTTTTGTGCGACTTTCTGAGAGAGGCAGTCCGTATTGGGGTTTCTATTTGTACGGGTCAGCCTCATTCCGACCTTCGAATCGGGGCGTAGCTTGGAGGTCGACGCACCGGCGGAGCGAAGAAGCGCACAAAAACGAGGAGGAGGATTGTGCAAGAAATAGGCCAGGCGAAGTGTTCGGCTCCTTTGAAGATACTGCCAGCAGACATTTTTGGTGTTGAAGTAGGATCCCGATCGAGTCGAGGATTGTAGTGCAGGGGCGGCGAGTATCAGACTTACGCCGGTTTTGACTGCGGCCGGGCGCGTGAGACCAAGCTATCCGCAAAGTTGCAAGAAAGTGGCCAGCAAGGCCGGCGTCCGGTTGTGATGAGACATGGTCGCCATGCAGAAGCTGAATAGAGTGGCTGTTCCTAGTGGCAACCGGCGCAGCGGCTGGGGTATCAGCAGCAAGGCTCAGTGCAGGCGTTTCGGCACGAGGATGCTGATCTCCAGTCTTTCGAGGCGCGATATCTGAGATTTTTGGTCATCCTTGAAGCAGGCTGGTTGTGGATCGGGTCGGTTGCAAGCAGGTGGTCTCACTCAATTCTTGGGGACGGTAGACTTCAGTTTCCGGTTGGTCAGCCTGATATGAACGTCCTGGGATGTTCTGCAGGCGACATGTCTCGCAGCTCTGTGGCACGCTGACTTGTGCGAGACTATGTCCAGCCTGCTTTTCTTGAAATACCATTTCGTTGGACCCCGCTAGCTCCGAAGCCCTACATGCAAGTAGATAACTAAAGTAAGTAGGCGCCAAAGTTGCGTGCGTTGGGGAACACAGGTAGGTGTCTTGCGCACTCCTCGGCGACGGTTGAGAAGAGTGGCAGTTCAACATCTCCGTTATTGTTGATGATGAGGGAAAGTTCATGCCGGTTGCCGGAGCCGGCCCAAAGTCTACTTCTCGACATTAAAACCGCCCCGAACGGTACGGTACTCCGGTGGCCTGTGCAGTACGTTAAAGTAGGAGGGAACCTAGTAGTTACCACCTTGAAATCAATTAGACTAAATCTTCAAGGCTGTCGAGAACTCATCGACATCAGCGATGCGTCTAAATGACTGCGAAATGACATCGTTGACAGAAAGGGCTACAACAGCCTTGAAAACCTTGAACATCATCTTCATAGCTTTCTTAGCATGGACTTCTGGCGGATTCATCTTATTGTCGACCCTAGCTGACACCTAGCATCCGTTGATTGCGGGGTATAAAGCTTATTGAACCGACGAACACCACTACACGTTCCAGCCCGTGACGTCGGCCAGTTTACATCTACGAATGGGTGAAATGGGGTTGGGTTGTTTCCCCTCGCGATCTACCCAAAGGGAGGCGAGGATTCCCGAAGCTGTAAGACATGAACTCTCCTATCGGCATAGCACGCCGGCGGCAGCGATAAGAAGGTCTCACGTCATTTCACAGCTTGATCACCTACCCCTCCCTCCCTTTCCCGCCAGCTGCATCTTCACACCTGCGCAACCAAATTACCAGGTCAAACGCCATCTCGTCTGGGACTACATCCATCAATTTGCGGTTGAAAGGCTGTCAGAATTCCTTTTCAACCTAAGCTACAATCCTGACCTCTCTGGTGGTCTTTCTCCGCGAAGATGGATCCCGCGAAGCTGACTGGCCAGGCACTCCTTAGCAACACCATTCAGACGACGCCCATCATCGACAATCATGCCCATCCTCTTCTAGATCTCGATGCAATTGGCCGTTACCCTCTTCTATCAATCACAACTGAAGCTCACGGCGATGCAATACACGCCTCACTGACCAGTTTGGCCCACTTACGCGCCGTCAAGCAGCTCTCCAAGATCCTTCGATGCGAGCCGAGCTGGGAGGCTGTCGTGAATGCCATTGAGGCGAAACGTATCGAGGACTACGATGCGTGGGTCGCAGAATGCCTCAATGGAATTGAATCGGTTCTGGTCGACGACGGCTTAGATGGCGAGAACGCGGTCTATCCTTACACGTACTTCAGCGACCTTACCCGCAGCCCCGCTAAGAGGATTGTGCGCATTGAGAAGATTGCGGCAGACATCATCAACAACCATCTCCCCACGGATGAGAATGCTCCAAGAACCGCCAAAGACGCCGGGTCCGTATTTGAAAAGGCATTGAAGGCGTTTGATCACAGTATTGTGGAGGCCATAGCCGATCCTGAAGTCGTTGGCTTCAAGTCCGTGATTTGCTACCGCACTGGTTTGGGTATTCCCAGGAGACCAGACGCTGCTGCGGCTCGCAAAGTATTCGAGGAGATCCACGAGAAACATACCAAAGGCACCGACAAGGCATTCACCCGTGTCAACCACCGTGGGCTTAATGAGTACTTGGTGCACAGATTGGCTTGTCTCATCAGGAATGCTTCAGGCTCTGGCAAGAAGCCAATTCAATTTCACACTGGCCTCGGCGACAACGATATTACTCTCACTTCTGCCTCCCCATCACATCTACAGGAGTTCATTCGCCAGTATCCCACGGTTCCCATCGTGCTCCTCCATGCCAGCTATCCCTTCATGAGAGAGGCCGGGTACTTGGCGTCTGTGTATGCCAACGTCTACACAGATATTGGCGAGATTTTTCCGTTCCTGAGTAGGGATGGCCAGGAAACTGCCGTGCGGCAGATCTTAGAATTGTGCCCCTGGTCCAAGATATTGTGGAGCACTGATGGGCATTGGTTCCCAGAAACCTACCTTCTCGCCATCCTTCAAGTGCGCGAGGTCTTGGAAAAGGTCGGTAATAACATACGTTGCGTCTTCTTTCCGTCATGACTAACATGACCTAGGTTCTGTCTGAATATGCACGCAAAGGGCACATGACCTGGCGGGAAGCAACTCAACTAGTCAAAGACATTCTCTTCAACAACTCCAACCGTGTGTACCATCTCGGATTGGAGTTTAGCTTCGATGAAACAATTGCAAACCCGAGGAGACTGTCAGGCAGAAGCGATCTTGATATACTCGAAGCTTTCCTGGATGGCAAGAAGCCACCTCAATACCTCCGCATCTACTGGAACGACCTGACAGCAACACCTCGAGTTCGCGCGATACCAATGCGCAAAGTTCTTTCTGTAATGAACGAAGACGGTGACTTCTCCATAAGTATTACAAAAGCAAGTCTCGGGCTCTTGCAGAACGATCACGTGGTTCCGGGGGCATCCGGCACAGGAGAGTACCGCCTTCATCCCGACTTCACCTCACTTCAGGAGGGTCCCAGAGGAGGTCATATCAGCGTCTTCGGCGATTTCAGAGAGTATGACGGCTCTGCTGTACCCTTCTGCCCGCGATCCTTATTGCAAAGGGTGATCGAGATAGCTGCCCGACATGGGTTGACCTTCAGTCTCGGGTTCGAGATTGAGCTGGTTCTCCTCGAGCGCGTGGATAACTCTTTCGAGAAGTACAAAACTCTTAGCAACGACGGCCACGCATGGTCCACCTCCCGCATGATGGATCACCCTGTCTTCGCCAAAGTCATTGAGAAGGCTGTGGCCGAGCTAGACGCCGACGGCATCTACATCGAACAAGTGCACCCTGAGAGTGCGGTCGGCCAGTTCGAAGTCATCCTTCCTCAGGCGCCTCCCCTTGAAGCAGTCGACACATTGCTTTACGTACGTGAGGTCATCTCAGGCATCGCCGCCGCAGAAGGCTACAGGATGACTCTTCACCCAAAGCCATACCCGACAGCTTGTGGCACCGCAGCTCATGTGCACATGTCAATCGACTCCGCTGCAGGGTCCAAGCCAGAGACGTACAACCCATTCTATGCCGGGATCTTGAGGCATCTTCGCGCAATCACGGCTTTCACATACAGCAACCCCGTCAGCTACGAGAGAGTTCAAGACGGCTGCTGGGCCGGCGGTCGTTGGGTAACGTGGGGTACCCAGAACAGAGAGACGCCGCTGCGTAAGATTGAGAACAGCCACTGGGAGGTCAAGTGCATGGACGGCATCGCAAATCCGTACCTCGCACTCGCTGCACTCCTGGGTGCAGGCACACACGGTGTCATCGAAGGCGAGAAGATGACCTGGGGTGATTGCGAGGTTGATCCTGCGTCTTTGACACCGAATGACAGGAAGGAGCTAGGCGTTGAGCAAATGCTTCCCTCAGGCCTGCCAGAAGCGCTCAAAGCTCTCCGCGCGGACGATGTCATGAACGAGTTGCTTGGTGAGGACTTAATAGAGAGGTACATCACAGTCAAGGAGGAGGAGATGAAGAACCTGGAGGCTATTAGTAGTGATGACCGCCGACAGTGGATTTTGGAGCGGTACTAGGATAAGATCTCGACCAAAGTGGAATGCATGACCAAAATCATTTCAGCTGGGTGCCTGATTACACACCATTAACAAAAAAAAAAAAAAGATATAATACTCTAATACTCCACTTCTTTACTTGCTCTCTTTGATAATTGTCTGCAAAGCCTTGACATACTCATTAATCTCCTTGGCCCCGATGAGAGTGAGATCCCTCCGACGGCCCTCGAATATGACATACGGTACCGAATCAACACCATCCATGGCGGCCATTCGAATCATATTTCTCGTCTCCATCTTCCCTTCACTCTCATCATTCACAACCGACTTCGCCTCCGCCTCCGAGATACCGGCCTCAACGCATGCGTCAACCAGCACATCTTTGGAGTTTTGATCCTGCTCGCGTTCGAAGTAGCGACTGTATAACGCGTCGACTAGTCGATTCGCTGTCTTTTGATCCTTGGATTCCTGAAAGTGCTGGATGATTCGATGCGATGGAAACGTGTTGGACATGGTGCCCCCAAAGGAGAACTTAATTCCGGCTGCGGATCCGAGGGCCCCCATTGTCGCTTCAAAAACTTCTTGCTTCTGGTCGGAGGCATCATGCTTGGCTGTCGTGTACCAGTGCCGCTTGTCCTGCGGCTCTGGTGGGAAGTCTGGATAGAGCTGGTACGGACGGAAGACCAAGGTGAAGGAAACATCTTTGCCATTGGGGCCGGTCGCGACTTGGTCGAGAGCTTCCGTCAATCTGCTTACTGTCAGATCACGAAATTGCATCCATGTTTGTGATTTGATACCTCTTTTTAGCAATGTAGGTCCTTTCCTCGAAGAGTTAACTTTCGCTCCTGGTATAAAATAAGGCTTTGATGGAATCAGATGCTCACCAGGGACAAACTGTATCCAAAGTAAATGTGATCTGTGACTGATACATATTTCGAAAGTAGAGAGATTGTACTGTGTAAAGAGCGGGCTTTACTTTCTACATTCGTGATCCCTTTCTGTTTGACTCTCAAGGCCTGTTTGAAGCTGCCGGAATGACGACTGCTTGCAAATCAGTTGGTCACGACCCCGCACCTATGACCTCCTCTTACTTAGGTTGCGTTCACGTGGCCGGGAGATCGACCGAAGTGACGAAGGGATTGCGTATAAGTTGGGGCTGGACTTCAATTTCCCTGGAATTGATATGATCAATACTTATATTTCTCTTTCTCTTTTAACTTTATCCTACTCTCATTTCGCTCGCTTCCTCTTGAATTATTCGATGCACTTGAACTCTGACTTAACCATGCCTTCTCATTGGGCCACATTAAGCTTCTTTTCCTGTTTGCTCGAAATGCAGGCTCAATCAGCCCGACGCAGGGAGAAGGAAGGTTGATTCCCCAAGTGAGAAGTCACGGTCACTTCTCAAATATCTACAAGACAATTGACGATTCGAACTTGAGGGCCATGATGAGTTGGGGGAATGAGGGCAAAGAGGCCAATTGCGGAAACTAACGGAGCGCGGTCTTCCTCTAACCGCGCTATGAACGATGCTATCTGCATTGACTGGGAAGGAAACTCGAGGAGAGGTCGTGCCCCGCTTTTTTACTATTCGGGAGCTAGGATGGGGCATGAGAGATGAGTGAACTGGGAAGTAAATTCGTGACGAGCGCTAAACGATGAAAACCCACTTAGACTTCTGTTGATAAGATCTTTTTCAGAATCATTAGCGACTCAAGATAAGTAGTATTGACCACCCAAGACTCAGCCGAGACGATAAAAATTAGCAATGGCTTGAAAGAAGTTTTTACCTGCATCAAGAATAACTTGCATGCAGCTTTGCGACCAAGAAGTAAACGGTTGAAGTTGCAAGCTTCCTCTTTGTACGTTATCATTAGTACCTTTTAGCGTCTTACTAACACAAGTCACAGCGACATTTTTGTTAAGTGAAACCAGCAATTGTAATCTTCATCAAACTTCACTTCAGATTATAAGTTGTTGTATAGATATAATGTTTGCAGGAACGTTCTTTCACAATGGCAGAGTCCTCGTCAACGCTGGGACTGGACTCAACGCCGAAGCAACCTTCGTCGACAGTCTCTTGGTAATGGACAGGAAGGTTGCAGCTATTGGAACTCGAAATGAAGTAGAGCCAGCAGACTTGACGGGGTTCAAGGTGCACGACCTGCAGGAGCGTACAATTCTTCCCGGCTTCATCGACGGTCATATGCATCTCCTCCTGCTGGGACAATCTCTTCGGAAACTCGACTTATCAAGTTGCAAAACGTTAGACGACATCCGATCCAGCATTAGGTCATACGCTGAAGCACATCCGAACCTCGCAACGATTCTCTGCAAAGGATGGAGGCATTCGATGACTCCAAAGGGGGTCTCGGCCGCTTTACTGGATGATATTGATCCCCGCCCAATCTTTGTCGATGCGAGCTCGTTACACTCATCTTGGTGTAACAACGCAGCTCTGAAAGAGCTCAGAGTCGCCGACATGCCGGATCCAGCCGGCGGACGCATCCATCGCGATGAACATGGGAACCCATCTGGTGTTCTCGATGAAGGCGCAATGATGTCCATCATCTGGCCCTATCAGGCTTCCTCATCCCTCAAAGAAGAACGTATCAGGGCCATAGTCGCCGCGGTAAAGGAGTATAATGCGGCAGGATATACCGGCGTGGTGGAGATGGCAATGGATGAGGAAGCCTGGGACGCAATCATCACCCTCCGAGATACCCAGCCCGATCTTCCGATCCGTGTAGCTGCGTACTGGCTGATCAAGCCAACAGCGGATCATCAAGCCAACTCCCGTCAAGTTCGTCGTGCTATCGAGCTGAGCCGGGTTTACAATACCACCACTAGCCCGGACTTCCGAATTGTCGGTATCAAGGTGATTTGCGATGGCATTGTCGATGCTTGCACGGCCTTTCTCTCGGAACCTTACGCACCCGCAGGCAAGCCCCCGCCGATTTGGGAACCAGAATACTTGGAACCCGTTGTCAAGGAAGCAAATGACGGTAGTCTCCAAGTTGCACTCCATGCCATCGGAGATGCCGCGGTAAGAATGGCAATCGACGCCATCGAGAAGCACACCACCCCGGGCCGCCGCCACCGCATCGAACATCTAGAGCTTGTGTCACCAGAAGATGCAGCTCGTCTAGGCAGGTTGGGTCTCACAGCCTCTATCCAACCCGTCCATTCGGACCCGGCCGTCCTCACAGAATGGCCTCGCCTGATCGGAGAAGATCGTTGTCATCGGGCATTTGCCTACCGCGAATTCGCCGACTCGGGGGCTTTGATGGCTATTGGCAGTGACAGCCCGACCTCTCCCTGGGCGCCGATGGAAAATCTGTACGTTGCGGCGATGAGACGGTCTGCAAGGGATCCAAAGTTCACTGGGACTTTCAATGAGCACTTCCGCCTTGGACTATGTGAGTCTGTTACAGCCGCTACTTGGGGCGCTGCAAGCAGTGTGTTTGACGAGAAGCGTACGGGGAGTCTTGCAGCTGGGAAGTGTGCCGATTTCATTGTGGTTGATATGAAGTGGGATGAGAAGAGCTTATTGCAAGCTCAAGTGGAGGAGACTTGGTTCGGCGGCCGGAAAGTCTGGGATATCCGGGATTCAGCGTCGGCTTAGAGCCCCTCGGTTCAGTCCGAGATAACCACTCAGGCCTTGACAGTTCTCGACGTCTATGAATACAGTATCAGACACGTGGAGAAAACAACGGAGGACACCCAGAGATCAGAGTCATTCAACATAGCCTGCACAATAGCCATCTATGAAAACCACTCATATCTTTACACCTTACTTTGATGATCCCCACAAGTCAGCAAACGGATCCCAGCTTGGGTCCTCAACAGGCGTATACTCCATTCTGTTGGCGATATTCTTTGCAACATCCTTCCCATACACGGCGCCGATCCACGCAAACGCCAGATCGATGCCAGCACTGATGCCCGAAGACGTCCACACATTCCCATCTTGCACCCACCTTGCCTTGTGAATCCAGTCAACCTGCGGCCGCAGCGCAATCGTCTGGTCCCACGAGAGCTTATTCGTCGTCGCCTTCCGCCCATCCAGCACGCCCGCTCGTGCTGCGACTCCCGCGCCGGTACAGACCGTCAGCAGGTACTGCAGCGAGGCGAAGCGCTCCTTGACAAAGTCGATTGCGGTGCTGATGCCTGGGTTCCGGGTCCCCTGCCCGCCAGGGACGATGAGGACGTCAAGGGGCGGGGCGGTCTGAAATGTGTGTGTCGGCACGACGCTCTCGCAGAAGTTTGAGATGTGGCTGGCGTCCTTAACTCTTGTTGGGACCGGGTCTAAGGTATCTGCAATGATGTAGAGGTTCATTTTGTATGAGCCTGATAGCATGTTGAGGGCGTCCAGGGGCCCGAAGACATCGAGGGACTGGAAGGCTGGGAAGAGCACGAGGCCAAAGTTGACCGGTTTGCCTAGATTGTGTCAGAATCGAGTAGCTTGAGGTGCAAGACGCAGTCAGTCCTGTGAGATACTGGCTCACTCGTGCTCTCAACTCACCATCAGCGGCACGCTCGCCATCTTGAGCCATTGGAAGGTTTGGCTGAATCTTTTGACGCAACTCGAAGGATTTATAAATGCTGCTGAGGGCCTTCTGTAGATCACTGATGTGGCAAGATTACGACTTTCTAGTGAGCATGCTTGTTCAGTGTTGAGAACCGGTTATCAAAACACCAGGATAGCGAGGGGCATCGCTGGGACCCCGCGATTCAGTCATTGCTCATTTATCTTTAGCTATGTAGGCGGAAGACCGATGACCGCGCTCGGAGATCGGTAAGATTGTTTACGTAAGGGATCTTTTTCCAGGGAGAGATTATGCGGGGATTATTACTAAAGTGACTGGGAAAAGACCCCTTCTGAATCGCGTCATCGTACTTGGAAACCCACGGGAGTGGTTGCGGTGTCTTCCGGGGCATTCGAATGCGATGATACTTCTAGTATCTAGAGCCTGTTGCCCATATTCACATGAACCGCCTTGATCTGGCTGTACGCTTCAAGTCCTGCCTCACCTAGCTCCCGCCCGATGCCGCTCTGCTTCACGCCACCAAAGGGGACCCTTGGATCACAGTCCTGCGTGCTATTCACCCAAACCATACCCGCCTCGATCTCAGCAGCCACGCGATGTGCCTTCTCCAAGTTCGTCGTGAAGACTGCGGCGCCAAGTCCATAGACGCTATCATTAGCAATCGACACCGCCTCGGCCTCGTCGCCAAATTTTTGAATCACGACGACTGGGCCGAAGATTTCCTCGCGCCAAATTTTCATGTCGCTCTTGACGTCCGTGAAGACAGTCGGCGCGACATAGTACCCCTTGCCGCCCAGATGCACCGGTCTCTCGCCGCCAGTCTTGATTGTAGCTCCTTCGTCACGGCCGATCTGGAAGTAGGCCATGATGCGGTCGTATTGCTGCTTCGAGACTTGCGGACCCTGGTAGGTTTCGGCATCCCACTGGTTGCCGACTTTACTTGTCTTGTGGACCTCGTCGATGAACTTCGCGACGAAGTTATCGTAAATATCCTGCTGCACGAGGATCCGCGACGTAGCCGTGCAGATTTGCCCTTGGTTGGACATGATTCCCATGTGTGACCACCGAACAGCCTGCTCGAGATCCGCGTCGTTGAAGACCAACAGCGGCGATTTCCCGCCCGTCTCGAGGGTGATATTCTTCAGTGTTGCAGATGCCATCTTCATAATGTTGGTTGCGGTCGCCGTTGACCCCGTGAACGCGACTTTATCGACCAACGGATGGGAGACGAGGGCTGCGCCAGCATCTTTACCCAGACCATTGATGAAGTTCACGACACCTGGCGGGAAGCCGGCTTCCTTGATGAGGCGACCGAAGACCAGAATGCTAAGGGGGGTCTGTTCAGCGGCCTTCAGAACAACGGTATTTCCGCAGGCTAGCGCGGGGCCGAGCTTCCATCTGTTTCGCGGTTGACGGGTCAGTAAATGCAACTTAGTCCATCATCGCAGAAAACGTCTTACGTTGCCATCGAGATGGGATAGTTCCACGGAATGATCTGGCCAACAACCCCTACGGGCTGGCGGACGGTATAGGCGAACTTGTTCGGCAGGCTGATCGTCTGGCCAAAGATCTTGTCGCACCAGCCGCTATAGTAGCGGATAACTCCAACGGCTTCGACCATGTCGTTTGTCAATGCTTCTTGGTATGTCTTGCCTGCGTGGGTACGTCGTCAGAACTGAACTCGAGCAGGTGTTGTCTTGAGGTCGGGTAGAAGTTTGGAGTATTTCTTACCGTTATCCCAAGCGTCGATGGTTGCGAGCAGTTCCTTGTTCGACTCCATCAGGTCCGCAAGACGGGCCATGAGGATGCCTCTGTCTGAAGCCGACAGCGCCTTCCATGAGGGCGCCTTCAGCGCCGCAGCGGCGGCCTTGACGGCTTTGTCAACATCGTCTTTAGTGGCTGCATGAACTCTCGCGATTTCTTCTTCGGTCCTGGATACCCGCGGAATGTTAGTAAGTCATCTTACTTGAAGCATGTTTCACTATCTGAGTCTACTGCTCACGCTGGATCAATGGCAGGAATAGTCTGCCCTGAGGATGAGGGAACGAATTCATTGTTGATGAACAGCCCAGTTGGCTGAGTCCACTTTTGGCCGTTGGGCGCAGTCAACTCAATGGAAAGATCTCCCATCTTGTTGTCAAAACCTGAAATGAGACTGAATTGGTTTCTGCCGGAAGTTCGGTCAGTAGGCTTGAGATGGTGATGAGGGACAGCTTGTATGAATAGGTTCTTGAAGTTGGGATGAGTCTTAACAACCAAGAAGGTGTTTCCAGAATCAAATGAGTAAGTAATTAGATTTCATGAGATAGGATATTACTCCGAACCGTCATCTGATAACCACCTGCGAATTCGGCCTTGACAGGCGAGCAGTTTTAATCCGCCTGTGACGCTGTATCTGTTCAGTATCGGCGTAGCCTGCCAGGCGGGGTCTAACTTACCCCTCCCCCGCAGTGGGGATAGCTGAAATGAGACAGCGTTTCCAAAAGACAATCATCGGTTGGCCTCCCGGATTGAGCCTCCGAGACTCTCATCTTCTTTGAACCGCGGAGCGACTGAAATCTTCGTACCGATTTGGCGTGTTCGGCTCTTTTGGATCTCACTTGGGTTTGATCATGGCAGAGCAGTTTGCTCATAGTGATCGGGGAGACCTTCCTCATAGAATTTGCGTACCCAAGCGAGGAGCAGCAGCAAGTCTTGGGAGAGGAGATGGAGAATGAGGGGCTAAGTCTCCACCACCACCTTACGATTCAGAGAGCTTGCTCCCTGATTTAGGCACTCATCCCTCAATTGAAGCTGAATCGGTCCTCTCACTAGATTAGCCTCACTGGTGCATTGAGCTCTTTGAGCCAGTAACATGTGAAGCATCACATCCAGTTCTAACTTGATGATCCGGCTTTGAGCCTGTATAAGATGTAAATTTATTCTATTCTTGGCCTATGTATGGCCGTCTATGGCCGCGTATCGACTGCTCATCGCTTCAGTTCACTGTGCTGAACCTCGGGAGCTTCCCAAGACACAGCTTTGGGGATCTCTTCTTCCAAACTCTCGCCTGTCGGCGCCCAACCCAGTACTTTCTTAGCCCTAAGTGCCTCGCTGCGAGCATTCGTCCCAAAGAGCACCGTTCCGTGGGGCAGCACCTTGTTCGCTTCTTCGGGTCCAAGTTCCTCAACCTCGTCTTTTGAAATGAGACCCTTCTTCGCAGCAGCGGAAGCAACCAATTTTGAGATTTCGCCAAACGACTGTGAATCATGTTTGTTAGCTGATGCAGGGAAAGGAATTGAGGGGCCAGGATCATCTTCACTCACAATTTCACCAACACCAGTGAGATACAGCCCATTCTCGTTCCAAACCTCCCCCTCACCCTTCGCCTCAGCAGCTCGCTCAACAAGCCGGGCAATCAACTGCGCAATATCCTCAACATGCACATTTCCCCAGCGGCTCAGGCCTTTGCCAACTTGCACTCCGCGACCGCGATCCAGCGTGGCTTTCGCCAGCGACGGGATCTGCACGCTGCGCTGGTTGACTGGGCCGATTCCCCGACCGTAGATGATGGGCGGGAATACTAGCGCTGTATTGACTTTGGGCTCGTCGGCGGCGACTTTGAGGAGGTAGTTGTCGACGGCACGGCTCGGGTATCTTTGGATGAATGATCGCAGGTCGTCGATGCCGGTCAGGTCGTTGAAGACGAGGTTGCTTGCTGAGCCTGGGCTACGGGACTTGTCGGCGAGTTCCGCTGCGGCAAGGGCGCTGGCGCCAGAGATCTGGATCCAGTGCGCTGCGTTAAGTTGTTAGCATCATTGATCATGACTCCTGAGTGTGAACTGGTGCAAAGAATGCAGTGTTGACTTACATGGCTTCTGCTCTGCCGATTTGGACGACAAGGCCTTGTGAATCGTCTCAACGCTTTTCAAGTGCCCAGACGCAGCCAGATCTGGCATGGGTGTTAGTGATTTCAGCTCGCGAGGCTGCTAGGTGGGAGAACCAAAACATACGGACAACGACATCGGCATTGGAAGCTTCTCGAGTGATGGTCTCAACATCGTCAAGGTCACCCTCGACGATCTCGACCTTGCTGAAGGCGCCGGTGATAATCTTGCCCTTGGCGCTGTCGCGGACTAGCGCCCTCACGGCGTAGTCGGGGTGCGACTTGGCGAGCAACGAGAGGACGCTGCCACCAATGTAGCCCGTCGCTCCTGTCCTAGAGGCTTTTTGTGAGCACGGAGCACTTACACGGGCTTATACCCGCTGAGCTTCATTTGACTTACAGGAAGATATTGACCATTGTGTCTGAATTTTGCTGTTCTCTGCGCTGAAAATCTTCCTCGGTGAATACTGGGAATGGATGAACACTTGAAACCGGCAACTGACACTTTGGGGATTCGAAGGAGGCATCGCATGGAAGTATATAAACCACGCACAACCTGCTCGCGCTGGCCTTCCAAACAGGGGTTGAAGCTTGGAGCAGATTACCAATCTCTGCCAGTGGACGAGAGCTGTGAAGCTGCCAAGCTGCCCCACGAATTACACAATGCGCTACTCCATGGCGTCACTGCAGCTTTTCTCATCGTCGACACCAAGTGCCAATTGGCGATGATATCTTTACATGTTGATTTCAGACGACCCCACCGAAGGGCGTGCTTATGTATGGTTCTATCTTCGAGAACGGTCCTTTGTGTATTTTGCTTATAGATCAATCGTTTCATCCTTGCTTGTAGCAAGTCCTTCGCAGTCCTTGGGCCTACGATAGCCGCTTGAATACCCCTTCCAACACGTCGAGGAAAATATCGGCTGTGAAGCGATTGTTAGTCACCATTCGTGCATGAATGAACAATTCCTTGGGTATTAACCTACCATGATGCTTCTCAAATACCAGCATCGGTCGTAATCGGATAGCAGCATCGCCACTGCCACCCATGTTCACCCCCCTCGACTTCGCCAGGGCTAACACCTCTTCCCTCCGCGGACAATCCCACGCAATAAACGTCCCGCGATCCTTGCCACGAAGGTTCAATAAGTGCTGCGGGTACTTGCCCGCCAGCGCCTCCAGCTCCCGGTACAGGTACCCACCGACCTGCGCCGTATGCTCAACCAACCCGTGCTTCTCAATCTCTCCGTAAATCGCCTTGAACAGTAGCGCACGTACGGGATCGCCCATCCAAGTATTGAACTGTCGGTACGGCTTGTCAGGCCGTAGACCAGCGTCGCCAAAGTAGAAACCCGCCGCCTGTGCCTTCTTTGAGAAGGTGACCATGTCGGGCGGAGACGGGAGATTCCAGTACTCGTGGGCCCAGAATTTGCCTGTTGCTCCTACGCCTGTTTGAACCTCGTCGACGATCATCAGCACGCCCTTGCGCTTGGTAAGATCCCGAAGGCCACGGAAAAAGGCGGGGGACGCGTGATTGTCGCCGCCCTCGGCTTGGACAGGTTCAATGACCACCGCTGCAACGGTGTCGTTGGCCGCGTCCAGCACACGCTCTGTTTCCTCAAGGCACCTCTTTTCCTCTGCAGCATTCTTAGATGCGAATTGGTCGAGAGGATACTTGAGCTGGGGGAAAGGAGCCACAGGCCAGTCGAAAGCCGGCACATCGAGTTTGTGAATAGGCTTGCTCCTCGTCGTGGACAAACTTCCAAAGGACGGCCGTGGAACCCCTTTGAAAATGACATTATTGAATACTTCTTCGCACCAGGCGCTTGGTTCCGCATTACGGACTCCAGCTCAGCAGCGCTGAAATCCCTGCCGCCGCGGTCCCGGGTCCCCTTCCAGATGCAGGCGGCCTTGTACGCTGTCTCGTTTGCGTCAGATCCGGTGGTCGCCGTGAAGACTTGGTTCAGACCTGGCGGTGCGGCTTTCAGGATGCCGGTCTTGAGGAGGTCGGCGTAGTCTGCTGATGGAAAACTTCCGAGTGCTGGCCGGCTGGCGATGGCGCGGACCATGGCTGGACTTACAGAGGCGCGGTTGAGTTCTGGATTGTTGTATCCGAGAGGAACTGAGGCAATTTGAGCAAATCTAATCATCAATTAGGCGGAATTCGTTAGTTCTTTGCTGGTCTATACATGGCAATGAGTATAGTCGCAATACATACACATCCAAGAATGTGTTGCCATCAGCATCGACAAGACTTCAGAAGTACATCAGCATAGACAGATACGCAGATCGAGCGCGCGACATGGGAATTCAACTCACTAGTTACCTGTCGACCTCTCGTAGTCAACCAAAGTGTTGGCACTCCTGGTGTCAAAAACTTCCTCCAACCCTGCAAGGCCGTCCTTTACTTTAGGTCCGGGAAGTGAGGATGTCACGAGCTTTGGCCTAGAAGGCTCGTTCGAGAAGATGGCAGCTGCGCGGTTGCTTGATGTAGCCGAGAACGTCCGCACGCCAGCGACAAGTCGAGGCCACTGTCGGACTGCAACGACCAGTGTGAGTGATTTAGGGTGCCTGAATGCCATTGCGACTTTGTGTAAGCTATTTCGCATGTACTGTCAATTTTTTCGAGACGGAAGATTGATGACAAAATACTTAGTTTTATTCTAAGGTATAATTCCGACTCTGACTTACACGGATGTGCCACGGACCACCTAAGTTCTCGCGAAGGCATTCCGATCACAATGTTCAGACAGCACAACATATCCAGTTACATGGCGGTCAGATTCCCATCTCTTACTTTCTGACTGTCAGGTGTCTGCAGACGCTGGAGAGGTAAAGCCACAACTAAAACTCGAGATTCATAGTGGTGGCCGATCCGGCATTATCCTAGCGGAATGGACCGGCCTACTATCGGCGCTGGAGTCTCCACCCCGTTAGTGCCGATACGTACCGATTCACGTCGCGGAAACCTTCCCAGATGATTTTGGCAGGAACAAAGATTGACTACCTACACTTGGCATCTACGGATAACGACGCCGAACTGTCCACGCATGATGAACAACATCCCTATCGCCCATCTGACCAAAGCTATTCCGCCGATATCGATGCATACGTAACGGCGAATTCGTCTCGTGTCTATTGTCGGCTTCTCTTTAAGTCACGCAAGAGCACGAGAGAATCAGCCCATCGGGAACACAAGCCTGATGTGTTACTCCTTCCATACTACAATCATCCCCTGCGTGCCAAATCCAATCACACAGCTTTATCATCAGCCTTGCACTCCAGTACCCTGCTGCACACTCGAGAATGCCTGCCCGTCCTGTCACCAGAGGTTCCAAATCCGGGGTAAAGCCGCCTCCCCCGAAAGGAAAGCCAACAGCGAAAAAGACGACCACCACCACCAGCAGCAGCGCTGCCCCAACAAAGAAGGTCCCTCGCTCAAGAACGTTCACAGGCTGCCGCACCTGCAGAAGTCGTCATCTCAAATGTGACGAGGCCCGCCCAGTATGCTCGTCCTGCCGCCGCCTCAATCTCGTCTGTGAGGGCTATGATGGCCAGCTCCTGTGGGTTCCGGACCCCTTTTGCTCCGCTGAGCAGAAGCACGCTCATCGCGGCACTTCCTACCGGTACCCACTTTTCACCGAGGAAGAGAGGAAGACAATGAGTGTCGAGATTGTGACGAGCATGGGGCGCCAGTCTGCCGGCGACATTGTTCTGGATCTCGACGAGAAAAGCGTCCGTGCCGACGACGCGCATGTAGCTGGTCCGTTTGGCGTGTTCAGGGCCTTTGATGGCTCTACGGATTCTGGATCTTCGCCGTTGCAGCCCTCTGTTTCTGGGGGCTCGCCTAATACGTCGCCATCTGATGCCTTACCAGAGACGATGGACGGCGAGCTCGATGAAGATATTGAGGATATTGCCATCGAGCCTTGGTCCGTTGACGATAACTCCTTAGCTCTGGAGCCATATCTCTTACCTGGACCGTTTGATAACTTCAACACCGAAGGCATCATGGGTAACATGGGCCAGCCGTGGATGCACGGCGAAGGGCCCGGAAGTTTGTCTCATATGATGGCAATGGACAACTCTGCACTAGATCTTCTCTTCTCGCCATTATCGCCGCGCACGCCGGCAATGGCTCATACCGAGAATTTTTCAGCTGGTGATACAAATACCCAACGCCAGAACCATGATAGGGAGGAAAGCCATATAGAAGAACCAACCAGTCCTTCGGCAGACAAGCAAGACCTATCGATCTTGCGCAAGCTTCCTACCCCCTTTACTAACAATATGCCGGGTACCGAATCATGCTTGCCGTCACATGCAGCTTCCCTCTTACGATACTACAAGACTATGGAATCGTCATCGTCGGTCAAGGGTATGAGGGTATCACCGTGGCAGCTCTGGCTCCTCCCCTGCGCTCTGGAAACATTTGCCGAATTGTCGCTTTGGAACACCACTTCGCCTACCCGTCACAGTATCTTGTGTACATTGCTAGCAAAGAGTGCCTTTCATATGCATCAATCTTCGAACAAAGAAAGCCAGAAGTCAACAACACAGTGGCTAGATATTGGACAGAACTATCAAAAGAGTGCCCAGACACATCTTAAAAAGGCTTTGCAAGGCGAATCTGATGAGCCAAGTCAGGCCAAGTACAACGAGATCCTTATGGCCATTCTTGCCACAGCCATGGTATCGGTAAGTTCACTCTAAAACCCACAATTCTATTTGACTCTTCTAATGCCATTCAGGTTCTCTACAATGGATCCCGCGCAGTAAAGATCTTCCTCCTCGATGCCGAACGCCTAATCCGTCTCCGTGGCCTTGCGATGCCCAAATCCTTCCACGTCCGCGTCCTACACCATGTCTACACACACCTTCGCGTCATTGCAGAGAGTACGGACATTGCGATAGACTCTGCAAAATCCCAAGCGCAGGCAGCAACCGAGATGGCGGTGTCGCTCCGCAAGTTCCGTATTGCAGAAGATTCTCTCGGCGCCGACCTCGACTTGTCACGGGAGAAGCCCGCAGAGGTGGGCTACGCGGATATTCATCTCGATGTTTCTGGCCACTGGCCTGTTACGATGTACCCAGAGATCTATGGTGTGCCAGAGTCACTGATGACGCTGCTGTCGCAGACCATTAGCTTTGCCAATGAAAAGACCAAGCTGGAGGCCATGGCTATGTACGACCACCGCATCTCAATGGCCTTGTCGCGCCATATCAAACAATTGGAGCAGAACATTTGGTCCTGGTCTCTGGGATCGTCGGATATGCAAAGTGGGCCAAGCCGTCCGCGGGAACTTGTCACTCAGGAGACGAAGCTCGTAGACCATCCTCTCATCCGATCTCTGACCCTTGCCATGCACCAGGCACTTATCATATACTTTTACCGTCGCGTCTACAACATGAGCGCCATGGTGATTCAGGATTCTGTGCGTAAGACGCTGGATTTCATTCAGCCGTGCCTCGAAGAGACAGCGGACGATCACGACTTTGCCACGAGCATCGGGTGGGCAGCTTTTATTGCAGCGTGCGAGGCTACAACGCCCGATTTACAAGAGAGGGGCCTCAAAGTGCTTCAAACAATTGATAGTAGCGGCGTGATATTTGGTACTGATAAGCCTAGTGTTTTGGCCCAGAGTGTATGGGATAAGAGGACAGAGACCGGCGATTGGACCCTAAGCTGGCCGGACATGATGAAGACTATTCCGAGGTGAATATCTGCATCAGAAGTTCATGATGTAGACGATGAACGATGTGCAACTATAGCGCGTGAAGCATTTCTCTATTTAGAAATCAAAGACCTGACTATTCTCAAGAAAGCTATGCGAGCTAGCACATCGACCAACAACTCCTCTGCCTTCAGTAGGTGCGAGCCAGAGTATCGATCAGATTGACCAAAAAGCTGCATCATGATGTTGCGCCGAAATATTTACTCAAGAAGAACCGATGATCATTCCAGCGTGCCGATTTCTGTGGTTCATAAACACCAAACCTGAACCTTGTTGAAATCTATGATGACACAGGGGCATCGTACAAAGTAGCCATCAAGACGCAATCTATGCATTGATCAAATATTTACTTCAATTGATTTTCTATAAAGCACTCTACGCAACAACCTCAACTCCCGCATTCTTCAACAACTGCCCAAGCTCCTTGCGCCTCTCGCCCTCAAGCAGCTTAAACGGCTTACGCATACCTCCCGTCTTCCACCCGCGCAACTCCATGCCCGTCTTCACAGCTGCACCGTAGTTGTCCTCAGGCGCCTCGAGGAACTTGCAAATCGGGAAGATCTTGGCCCACAGCTCCCTGCCCTTGGCCAAGTCCTTCTTCTCCGCCAGCGCCTCCCACAGCTGCGACGACAACTCGGGGATGATGTTTGTCGCGCCCCACACAGACCCCTTTGCGCCTGCGGCCAGGCCGTAGAATGTGAGGGTGTCCCAGCCGTTGAAGGCGGTGACCTTGGAGGATGTGGCTTCGGTGAAGAGCATATCCGTCAGGGCGGGCGCGTTGCCGGAAGTATCTTTGAGATGCGTGACGCCAACCTCGGACAATGAAGCAATCTCCTCCGGGGAGAGTGAGACGCCGCTAGCAGAGGGGATGTTGTAGTACATAATCGGCAACTTGGACTCGTCGTGAATCTCCTTGAGCAGCTCCTTCAACTGCACCAGATTGGGCGCATCGTAGAACGGAGGGACGACCATCAGCGCGCTGGCGCCGACTGAAGCGGCGTAGATGGCGTGCTCGACGGCCTTTGCGGTAGAAAGGTCGCCGATGCCCGCGACGACGGGAACACGGCCGGCAGCAGAGTCGACGGACTGTTTGACGAGGGTTTTGCGCTCTTCGGTGGTGAGGGCTGTGAATTCACCGGTACTGCCGCCAGGGACGAGACCGTGGACACCTGCGGCGATCATGCGTTGAATGTGTGCATCGAGAGCGGCGGTGTCGATTTCTCTTTGGTCGGGGGTAAAGGGGGTGATTAGGGCGACGAGGACGCCTTTGAGGTCGCTGGCGGTCATTTTGAATGTGTTATTCGGGTTGTGAAAGTGTTTTTTTTTTTTTTGTGAAGTAATAAATACTGTTGCGTACTGAATTGCAGAATGAACTTGCTAAAGAAAGACCGAGCTAATTCCAGGTATACGGACTTGTATAACAGTACAATGTAAATAATCAGGGCTGTTGAGGTTCGGATGTCAACGTCATATAGCTACCAGCTTCTTCGGATGTTCTTCTAGTTCCAGCATGTCAAAGATTACAAACGCAAGCCGGCTTCTCTTGCTTCGTACACCGCGGAAAGCCACACGCGCAAACCTTCTCTATTACAGCACAAACAGGACCGGAAGCGCATCCGATAAATCGAAGTGTCACCAATTCGAGCAGGCCTGCCTCTTCTGTCACTTGTGCCCCTCATGACGACTCTGGAAAAGGAGCATGAGGATGGCGGGGTAATTCGAATCGAGCGAAAGAAGACGGCACCGCGGGGTCAGCTCCGGTCCCCGGGACCCATAATGCCCCATGGTGAAGGTGCCCAGAATCGCTATCTCGATCGAGATACCGCGGGGTAGGTCCGGGCGGTAAAGTGGATCCCGTCGCGGAGGCCTTCCTTTAGAAGGCCGGCTTGGCCTAACATTGGTCTGCGTGACGCAGAAAGGGTAATCTGGTTCACACCACCATCGAAAAGAGACCGCCATGCTGCACTCGGAAGGGAAAGCCATGATTGGGTTTTCCTTCATACCGATACAATGGAATTCTGGAAGCGGCAATGCGTCTCGAGGGACACTAGCTTCGTTATTCAGGGTCTCGTAAGAGTCAGGGTCTTTTTGCGAAGCTGCGTGACGCCTGCAAATCCAGGCTGGGTGGCAAAATCGGGCTAAGAAAGCCATGATGATACACATCAGCCAAAATTAACTTCAATTCAGCACAAGTAGCCGTAGCCATGGTGGCGGTGCGATTAGGAATCCCTTGAAGACAGTTTCTTGTGGATTCCCAGGCCTAGCGATCCTTAGCAGCTAAGATTTCAGAAGATCCGGTAGTGTTAGTTTTGATTCTAGGCTCGCATTTCGTGTGTCTCTGATATCCATTGAGGATATTTTCCACGTCTTGAAATAGAAAAAACCTAACACTCATGCAAGCTTCATTGATGATGATCAAACTGAGGAAATGATAATTCGCTATGCAAATGCTATCAAAATACGCATGTACCGCCTAGAGCTTCGCCAAAACACCGCTACCGTTTAGATATGCCACATGACCCCTCGAAATTTCGGCAATGGTTCGGGTTCTGTTGACAATTTAGTTAGCTGTGGCCAGAAGCCTTCAGTTAGAAGCTTAGGACTTACCCTGCGAGAGCCATAGCAACCTTGAGCTCGTACTGGAGGATCTTGAGCGCCAGCTCAACGCCTTCCTGCCCATTGTACTGTCATACTTATCAGCTACTATGTCCGCTAATAATCTTGGACAAGCCTGTCTTCACATACCGCCAGACCCCAAATGGGTATTCTTCCCACAAAGCAGTGTGACGCTCCAAGGGCAAGTGCCTTGAAGATATCAGTACCGCGGCGGATACCGCCATCGACAGCGATCGGAATCTTGCCCGCCGCCACCGGAGCGCAGATGCGCAAAGCATCCAGCGTGGCAGGGACACCATCCAACTGCCTGCCGCCGTGGTTCGAGATGATGACACCGTCGAGGCCGTGTCTGATTGCGAGAGCGACGTCGTCGGGGGTGTAAACTAATGGGAAACAGGCCAATCAGCTCGACTTCATGACAAGGTGCGATAAACTGCATGCAACTCACCACCCTTCAGCCATAGCTGGAGCTTGGTGTGCTTCTTGAGCCATGGAATCGCCGAGTCCCAGTCAAGCGAAGGATCTGAAATTAGGCTGTCAGTCATGCATTCGAATACTGAAAAGCGTGCACCTGCTCGATGACGTACCAAAATCATGCCGATTGGAAGACTGACTGTCCTTCTCGTCGCCGCTCAATTCGCTCTTTCCATCGGACAAGAGGTTGGGCCACTCAATGCCGTCAGGTAGACAGAAGTTGTTTCGGTACTCGTTCAAGCGGCGGCCTAGCAGCGGGGTATCGACAGACAGGAAGATAGCCTTGTACCCAGAGGCTGTCAAATTTGTTAGCGTCTTCAATGAATGCTTGCAGAAGATATGATGTGCCTGCCTTCGGCCCTCTTCAGGATTTGCAGAGTGGTCTCTCGGTCTCTGAGCACGCACAGCTGCATGACATATGGGTTTCCAGCGCCTTCGGCTGCCACGTTCTCCATCGACTCGGTGGCATAGGAAGAGAGGGCCATGCAAACATTCATCTTTGCTGCAGCACGCGACGTTCCGATTTCGCCATCTGGGTGTGCCATCTTGTGCATCGCAGCCGGACTGAAGCCCAAAGGAAATGAAACCTATCGGGGATGTGTAAGCAGTTTCCTAGAGAGTAGGATTCCTGACCATGCGATCCACATACCTTGGCTCCAAAGATCGAGGTAGACATGTCGATATTGTCAACATTGACGAGAATACGCGGCATTATCTTGTATCGGTTGTATGCCTCCTCGTTATCCTTGAGTCTGTATGATGTCGAATATCAGTAATTTCTCGGATACTCTGAAAATGACTTCAGGCGACTAACGTTACGAGATCCATTGCGCCCTCATTGTAGTAATCTCTGTACATCTTGGGGAGCTTCTTGCTGCCCAACTCCATCAGATCACGGATGGTATGGACATCGGGGTCCCATGTTGCGCCGCGGTTTGCCATTTTAAAGACTGGTCAGACTGAGATTATCTTGGTCGGGTGTGCTTTGAGGATCGATTGCACCAGCTCGACATGGAGTGGTCTTGGGGGGAGATGTTGGAGAGCGCTTGATGTAAAAAGGGCTGCTAAAATGGAGAGCTCGTGAGCTTATGTGAAATAATCTATCGGAATCGGTTCCGTCAGTCTCAAGAGCTCTTGACTTTCCTGCCTCGGCAAGATGCTCCGCCGCCCCAAATCGGGATAGCAACAGCATGCAGAAGATCGCGCTTTCGCTGGACTTTTGGATCCTTCTGCACCTGAGGCAATCGTCCCTGAAGCTCCCGTTTTGGGCAAGAAGCTCAAACTCCCCGATCTAGACCAAATGCTTATCGTCATGGTTGGGGTGAATTCGGGGTAGCTCGGGGATGGTTGCCATTTTTGCTTCACACCAACACTTGCACCTAATCTGGCTTTCCAGATACGTGCACCCAGCAACTGTCTGAGGTCTGATTTTTGTTCCCTTCAACTGAACTTGTCTTGCCCCCGCGTGATACATTTTGACGGTGGTCTATCGAATCAGGGACATGTCGCCGGCTGCAGGTGTCAAGGTGCATCGAAGCTCCTACGGTACAGGGGTACCGAGCTGATCGATCCACGATATACGCAGTCGATACGCACAGCTCTCCAGGAATTTGGCAGCGATGGCGAACATGAATATCAAGGTCACCTTCGGCGAGACCTTACCACCAACACCACGGAAGCAAACCCGATGGTTGGAGCAGAATTTCTGAGGAAGTCCATTTTTGTAAGTATAGATGGTAATTGGCAACTCATGTGCGTGGAACAACCCACCTGCCTAGATCAGCCAGCGGCCTCTACAATGTCTCTCTGGTGAACTGCTTCGAATTTATCTAGACTTGACTCTCTTTTGTTTTGAAATTCATGCATCAATCTATTCCAAGACCTTGAGCTGCGCTATATTGTCACCAAGCTTGTCTTTCGTCTTGTCCAACAATGCGTTCCTTCAGGGCTTCATCGGCGGTTCGCGTAGCCTCAGTCAAGCCAAGCAGCTTCATCGCATTATCTTCCCCAAATTCGTCATACCGTAGAGCTCTTTCCACAACATCACCTGCACAATCGTCCTGGCCTACGTCTCACACCAAGATCACCGACCCTTTACCAACACAAAACTTTATCGACAACACCTTCAAGCCGTCCTCAGCAAGCAACTGGATCGATGTCCACGACCCAGCCACAAACAATGTCGTGACACGCGTACCGGAGAGCACCGACGAGGAGCTCAAGGCAGCAGTCGAAAGCGCCCAGCGCGCGTTCCCAGCATGGAAGGCTACAAGCATTCTGAAACGCCAGCAAATCATGTTCAATTTTGTAAACTTGATTCGAAGAGATTGGGATCGTCTTGCCGCATCCATCACGCTTCAACAGGGCAAGACCTTTGCCGATGCACGAGGCGACGTTCTACGCGGTCTGCAAGTCGCTGAGACGGCGTGCGGAATCACGACACAAATCACTGGTGATGTTCTAGAGGTGGCCAAAGATATGGAGACGCGAAGTTATCGCGAGCCTCTTGGTGTTGTTGCTGCTATATGTCCTTTCAGTGAGTTATTCCAAGTTTGATTTCTGTGCTACAATATGTACTTCTGGTGTTTGTTCCATCACTAACAGATCCGTTCTTCGACAGACTTCCCTGCCATGATTCCTCTCTGGTCAATTCCAATTGCTACGATTACTGGCAATACTCTGGTTCTCAAACCATCCGAAAGAGATCCCGGCGCAGCTATGATTCTGGCAGAATTAGCTAAGGAAGCTGGGTTCCCAGACGGAGTTATCAACATCATCCATGGCACGCACCGCGCAGTCAACTTCATTCTCGACGAGCCGGCAATCAAGGCCATTAGCTTTGTCGGTGGAAACAAGGCCGGCGAATACATCTACACTCGTGGATCAGCCAACGGAAAGAGAGTACAAGCCAACCTCGGTGCAAAGAACCATGCTGTCGTTCTACCCGATAGTAACAAGCAACGGACCATTAATGCAATCTCCGGTGCTGCATTCGGCGCAGCGGGTCAGCGTTGCATGGCGCTCTCTGCTCTGGTTCTCACGGGCCGCGAGACACACTCTTGGATTGACGACCTTGTCGAAAATGCAAAACAGCTCAGGGTTGATGGCGGTTTCGAAGACGGCGCTGACCTGGGCCCGGTAATTAGCCCCCAAAGTCTTGCCAGGATAGAAGCTCTCATCGAGAGCGCGGAACAAGAAGGCGCTAAGATTGTGTTGGATGGTCGCGGCTATCGCCCTGGCAAGTATCCCAATGGCAACTTTCTGGGGCCCACCATCATTAGCGGTGTGAAGCCTCATATGAAGTGCTACAAGGAGGAGATTTTCGGGCCAGTCTTGGTTTGTCTGGAGGCGGAAACCTTGGCCGAAGCCACTCAACTTGTCAACAACAATCCCTACGGCAATGGCGTTGCTCTATTCACCAACTCCGGAGCTACTGCCTCTTGGTTTCAGAAGAATGTAGAGGCTGGGCAGCTTGGCATCAATGTTCCGATCCCAGTGCCGCTGCCTATGTTCAGCTTCACAGGAAACAAGGCAAGCATCGCCGGCGGTGGCGTTAACACTTTCTACGGCAAAGCAGGCTTAAACTTCTATTTTGTTATAATAGCTTTAACTATCCATGGCCTTATTATATATTACGTAACCTCGGTTATATAATTACCCGAGGTCTATACTCGCTTATACTCTTTATTTTAGGGCAAACTTCGTACTTATTTCCTATTTTTAATAAATAACTGTTCTTTATATTTAATATCGATACCCTTATTTATAATTATATAATAATTATAAACCTAGTTCTAACTTAAATTACTAAGCCTTTATTAAAAAATTATTTTTTAAAAACTACGATTTATTATATTTTTTTTTTATATTTAATTTTAATCCCTATTATGCTTATAAAACCTGTTTTTAAATAATTATATTTTTTAAAAAAGCTTTTAAAATAATTAAGTATAAGCTTAATTACTAATAAAACTAACTAAAATAATACCTCGTTTTATAAATAAAAGCCCGCTTAAAAAATATCTAGGACTTATTTAATTTAAATAATATAAAGTTACCCTTAAATTTTTTATTTTTTATTAAATTTATTTTACTTATTAAAAAATATATTAAAATATAAAATACTATTTAAAAATAAATTTATAGAGCGGCTATAGCTAAATATAATTAATAACTTAATTACTATACTTAATAAAAAGCCCTAAAAAATAATATTAAGGATAATTTAATATAATAAAATAGCTTCGTAAAATAACCTTTTTTTTTTATAAAACTTAAGCTAGTTATAACTAATTAAGCGCGTTTTTTTAAAAAATATACCTCTTTTATTTAATAAATAATATTTAAAACGATCTCTTAGTTATAAAAAAAGAGATTATATAAATTAATAAACCGCTAAATTACTAACTCTATTACTTAAAATATCTTAAAAAATATAAAAAAAGAACTTATTAATTTACTTAACTACTTACTTTGTATAATAATTAAAGTTCTTAAATAAAAATATACCCCGAGTAACTTAAGTTCGCTTATAATTATTTAAAAAAAATTTAATATAGTTATAAATAAAATAAACTTTAATATTAATCTTATTACTTAGATTAAGAATTTTTATTTAACTTATTATTATATAATATAATTCTAATTACTTAAAGTCTAAAAACTCTTATTTTTAAATCCTTCTTCTATATAACTGCTTATTACTTCGCTCTAAACTAATTTAATTAAGAGCTTATTAATATTATAAAAATAAAATAAAGGGGTAAAATAATACTTAATATAAGCTATTATACTAAAATATTTAATAACCTCTTATATAAAAAGGTAGTATATAATAAAAGTTATAAATAAAACTTTATAATTTTTATAATATTAGTAAGTTATTTAAACTCCCCTAAGTAAAGTAAAATAAAACCTAACTTATTTATAAACTACCCTTATAAAAAGACCTATTACTAAAAACTAATTAAATATATAAAAATAAAGTTCGCCCTTATTAAAAAAACGAAATAAAAATATATTTAATTAAATAGAACTGAAGTTAATAAAATAATTACTTACCTAAATATTAATAAATATACTAATTTTTATACTAACTTTACTTAAAAAAAAAAATATGAGTAAAAGCCCCTAGTAAATCTAATAATAATAACTAAAAAAAAAGTAAAAGGCTAAGTAAACTAAGAAAGTTAATAAAAAAATAGGATTTTAAAGCGTTTTATCCTTTAAATATCGTAGCTATAATTATTAATATTACTCTATTACTAAAATTAAACATAATAAATAATAAAAATACTAATTTTATTATTTTTTTTATCCCTTTTACGGGCTTATACCTCCTTTTTAAATATATAATTATAAATAACTATAGTATAATTTATTTTATTAATAATTAATTATTTTTAAAACCTAAATTAATTTAATAATACGATAGGACTAAAAATATAAATTTTAAAATAACGTCTTATATTACGACCTAATAAATATAATAAGGCTAGGGGCCGCCCTATAAGACCTATAGCGGCTACTATATTATATATATAAAAAGAACGAACTTAAGATAACTTTTCTTAAAATAAAAGAACTATAAATAAGTTATATAATTACGATTATATAATAAAATAAAAAACGGATGCCCATAAAAAAATAGGACGGACGATCGTATATAAATAGGACGGATAACTATTTAATAAATAGTTAAGTAATTATAAATAGTAATATTATAAAAAATATATTTATAAATAAGATTTATATATAATATAAACTTAAGCCGGGCTTAAAAATAAACTTCTTATAACTTCTTTAGTAATTAATTTAATATTAGATTTTATAATCGCTTTTAATTATTTTTACTAAGAACTTTTCTTAATAAGACTATAATTAATTACTAAAACCTTATTTATTTTATAACTTATAAATATAGTTTTAAAAAAGCTATTTAT